AACCCGCCAGTGACTCTGCAATTGGGGTCATTCCAAGTTCATGCTGTGGACTTTTGACTGCCTTCTGTGGATGTGAAAACAGCCGGCAGTCCCGCAGGGATCACTCGCCAGCCCCGTAACACAAAACTGTCCCAGCAGGCACCTGCTGGCCCGGCCATTGGGCCCTGAGGAGCCAGGCTGGGGACGCCCGGCTGTGGGCGGCCGCGGGTTGCCGGCCAGCAGGCCCTGTCAGGAGGCATTAGGGGCTTAGTTAACGAGGGGATGTGAGCTAATTAAAGCGCCTTTCCTTTGGTTGTGTGACAGGGAATCTCAAGAAACGTATGTTTGTGCAGTGGGAAAAGGTGTTGTCTCGTTGGTAGTAATTGAGGGAGGGCCAAAGTTGATGCATCTCTTAAAATGAGAGGCTGATGATAGCGTTGTGCTGGTTGTTTTCTGAATTAAGCTGTGTCTGATCTGTTCTCAGTTCTGTTGCACACTGCTGACCCGGTTATGAGTGTGCCCTGGGCTTGGCCTAAACCATCCTCTGCAGGGGGTGCTCTATCTAACCTGGGAATTAAAGCAGAAAAAGTGCCTTAAGCCCATTGTGGCTGAATCCACAAACCTTTCAGTCTCAGCACCTGAGCACTTGTCTTCCTGGGAGGAGGACGGAAGCCATGGCAAGCATATCTTGGAGCAGCTTCAGACAGGCAGGAATTTTAAATCTGAGGAGAAAAAAACCACTATTCTTTCAAAAATATTTAAAGCCTTTTGTTAGTGCCATTACAATGCATGGTTGACCGAAGTGGAAGATAGGGGGAATCATAGAATCATGAAGTGGTTTGGGAAGGGACCTTTAAAACCTTCCATTTCCAACCCCCTGCTGTAGGCAGGGACACCTCCCACCAGCCCAGGTTGCTCACAGCCCACCCAGCCTGGCCTTGAGCACCTCCAGGTTGGGGCATCCACAGCCTCACTGAGCAACCTGTTCCCATGTCTCACCCCCTCACAGTAAAGAATTTCTTCCTAATATCTAGTCTAAACCTACCCTCTTCTAATTTAAAGCCATTTCCCTTCATCCTGTTGCTACATGCCCTCGTAAAAATCCCCTCCCCAGCTTTCCTGCAGGCTGCCCTCAGGTACTGGAAGGCCACTAACCAAGGAGGAAAGCTGTGTTGTCTTCTGACTTACTGACATCTAGTTTGTAAAGTTCTTAACAATGCACTGAAAAAAAAAAAAAATTAAAAAAGCATGTTCTTATCAGTGAGTAAAGAAGCTGCTCTAGAAGTCATTTTCATGGTAAGTCACAGAAATGTGTTAAATACATTAAATATCAGCCTTGAGACATTGTGATAAAAGTGCGAGAACTTGGGCTGGAGAATTTACAAGATGAGTTTATCTGTCCTGCTGTGCCCAGTCACTGTTTATGCAAAGAACATTTTTACACTTCATCTAAATGTAACACCAAGCTTTGAGAAGGACTGCTGGCTTGGAACCTGGCTTCCTTTGCCATAGCAGCCCCTGGCAGCATGGATGTGGGTCTGCTTTGCCCCTAATGCAGATGCTGTGAACATTTTGGGTCTATGCACCAAGGGAAGGGCTTCATTTGAGACTGTTGTATTTCACTGCCAAAAGTCAGTGCAAAATCTCCTCTAAAATACATCTTACAGGTTTGAGAGATGTAGAAAATAATTTTAATGGTGCTGCTTGAAGGCAAATAACCAGAAGGGATGAAACTTACAGATAGGCATTAAGTGCTTAGGTGTAGTGCATTGTATTGTATCACTAGGTTGAACAGCAATACCAAAGCTTCCACACCTTCCTTGTTGAATAGTTGTTAGTTTTCAAAAATTAAAGTGAAACTCCAATGGAAGAAACCTCTCATTTCTAATGCTGTCAATTGCCTTGATTTCATGGTATCATCTGTAGTTACACGTTACACAAGAGAAATGTTAAATGTACATAATGTGCTGACATTTATGGTAGAGTGTATTTAGATGTTATCTAAAGAAAAAATGACGATAAACTAAGAAGACAGCTTAAACAAAGGTAAAAAAAATAATTTTCTAAGTAGTTATGTAAGTAAAACATCCAGTACTAGGAGAGGTGAACAAAATGCACTTTGGAGAGAAGGGTGGTCAGTATTCCCCACTTCATATGCTGTTTCCATGCATGGGTTTTTTTCCCAGTGTGAGTGTGACCGTTGCCTGCATGGGGTGTTCAGTTTGAGAGCAGAGTGAAGGGCAGCAAAGAATGTTTTTAAAGGCTGAAAGCTGAGCAAACCTTGTGATTTCTAATTGCAGTGCAGTTGGTTATGAGGTTTGCGCTGAAATTCAGACTGACCTATATTTAATTCAATTTAATCACTTTCTCCCTTAACGTTCCATGCGATGTTCTGCTTTGCTCAGTCAATAATATTTGTAAAAGTACAATTCTCTGATGCTAGAATTACAATGGAATGTTTGGACTTAAGTCATAATTGTGTATTTATCCTTTTGGGATGTCCTTCGAGAACAAAGCGGTGCCAAGAGCTTAAAAAGACTTTAAGAGATTACTTAAAACTGATTTCCATGCTGTGTGCCTCATGCATCTGGCTTAGAGGGAACATGCAGTACAAAGACTAGAATTAACTCTGTTTTTGTTTGCTCTGAATTCTTCCTGTGCCCCATAAGCCTCATTATTTGGCATCAGCTTGGGTTCACAAATGCTGTATATGGTTGTATTTTGTTGGTAGTGGTGTTTTGTTGATTGAAACAGCGAAGGGATCGGGATTGGAATAGATGAAATGTGAGGTCCCTTCCAATTCCTGATGTTCTGTGATTCTGTGACAAAGTTGAAATATTTTTAGTACCTGGAGTGGCACAGCTCGAGTCTGTCTGGAGTTAATAGTCTGGAAGCCCCATCCTTGGCTTCAGTTGGAGATGTGGGCTGGCTCTTCAGTGCTGCCTTCTCACGTGTACCCAGCCTACATGGCTGGCTTTGCTCAGCAACCAGGAAAGGATCTCTGAAGTGGGGAAAAAAGGTAAATACCATGTTACTGATTTCTTTGATTAGCAAGTAGACGTGATGAAACTAACTGGGGGGTTGGATTTTACAGCTCCCTTTTTTAGTTTCGTGTTTGTTCCATAGATGGTTGTACTGTGCTGTTGGCATTTGCATGGCTCTCAGCCTCTGAAGTTACCAACAGAAGGAACACAAAGGTGGCTCACATTTCTGTTGTCACTTTTGTTTCGGGTAGCATGGTTAGGTTGTGGTTGGATTTGTTGATCTTTAAGGTCATTTCCGACCTGAGCAATTTCATGGAGACCATTTTCCAGGTGATGAGTTCACAGCTCCATGGGCTGCCATAACATCACATCACATCCAGATGTAGGACCACGATGAGGCCAACACTGCAGCACAGGTTGCTCACCCGCTCAGCACTCCTTGCTGTGGCTGCCCAGTGCCTGTGAGATGCCTGGTTGTTGGCTCTGCTGTTCTGGTTTGTGGTCTTGGTGGTTTGTTGTTGTTTTTTACACATAGCAGAGACTGACTTCTAACCTGTGTGCATGTGGTATTTTTCCCTTTTTTCCTCCTTGCCAAGGGAATGAGTCGTGATTATGCTAACATTCTGTGTATGAAAACAGCATTATTGCTGTTAGATGTCAGATTCTGCTTCACTGAGGAGTGAGAAATAAGCCAAAAGGACAGATGTACTTCACCAGGAAAGCTGGTGCAGTGGAGCCAGTCCATTCAGACAGGGCAAAATAGACCAGCAAGTATAAAGAATGCTTACCAGTTCTGGTCAGTACTGAGATGTTGGGCTGTTCCTGCTGCCTGGTTCTCTGAGTATGCATTAATGTAGCTTTCAAAATATATCCATAAAATGCCATTTTCAGGACTGGACAGATTTCTTAATGAGATTTGAATTCTGAAGGCCTGTGGAGCTCTTTAGTTTTCATAGCAGCTCCTCTAATCCTCTTAAAGGAAACTATTTGCGCACACAAAATCCAACGCTAAACACAGCTAATAGATAACATCAGGTTGGTTTGTATTTCTAAGCTAATTAAAAAAAATAACATCTAATTTAAGTTCACAGAGAGGTCAGAAGTACTGCTGCCAGTGATTGCTATGCTCTGCTCAGTGTCCATACTGTCAAGTCAGAAGAAGGGTCGTGGGATGTGATTTTCATTCACGTTGCCAAAGTAAAGCCCACTTGTTTAGTGAATTGTAGCTGCTGGGCTGGTTTGTTTTTGTGCTGGAAAGAAGTACCTGAAACAAGGAAATGGTGTCACTGGTGGAAAAGGAAGCTGGCCTGGAAAAACTGGCAGAAGGAGGAGGGTCTTGGGCATGGCATTGGGCAACTGTCTATTTCCTTTGTAATTCCCAGCGTATCAGAATTTCACACCAGGTTTAGTTACATTCAGGTTCATGCCTTAATCGTGTGGTTTGCTTAAATGGATGCAAAGGAGACAGTATGTGCAAGAAAGCAAAGCTAAGCTAGCGGTGGCAAACAGCACCCCTACACAGTTCTGGATGAGTGAAGTACTGGTGAGCTGTATCAGTGCAGGACAACAGGGTTCTACCACCACTGCATGCACTGCTGTTCTCCAATCCAACACAGGTTTGTTCATTTATTAAGAGTGTAAGAATGCTGATGTTAGCTGGAGGAGGTACAGAAGAACAACTGCACGTAACCGAAAGGCGCTCTTGTTTGGAGGTTATGATAGGAAAATGCCTGCTGGGAATCTCTTTCCATGATAACATCCTGATTATGAAAGTTTTGGAGTTTGTTGGGTTTTGTTTTGTCTCCCTTTCTTTGGAGCCCTGCTCCCCCTCTTGGTTTGAGTAGCACTAACAGGAGGCACAGGTTGATGTACTTCTTCAGAGCTCTCTTCATGGCAAAAAAAGCTGGAGTAACTGCAGGTATAAAAAGAGAGCTGTATCAGTCTGTGTTTCACAACTAAAATCTAGGGATTTCTTCAGTAAACCTACATAAGAGAAGCAGCTTTTTTCTTTTAATAATAGCAATGGTTCTTTTCCAGTTTGCTGGGACCTTGTCAGATGGCTTGGGAAAGACAATGGACAACAGACATCAAACCGAGCGCGAATACATCCGCTATCACGCTGCAACGAGTGGAGAGCACCTTGTTGCAGGCATCCATGGCCTTGCACATGGTAAGCTCAGCTTGTTTCACTCTTATAGCAATGAGCAGATTGAAAAGAATGGTGCTCTACAGCTTGCATTACTCTTGGGTGGTGAGTTGTGGCCTCAGGGGCTGAGCTGTTGTAGACTTCATTTTTGAATTAAGTCTCTTATTTGCAATTGTAAATAAAAACTTCTTAAATTCAATTTTAGAGAGCGTCCCTCCAAAACCTTTTTCTCTGTGTCATCATAAAATACCCACACACAGAGCCTTCGTGGGAGCCAGGCACAGAAATAGAAATGCCCATGGCTGGATTTTAACCTTTCTGCTTTCAGTTCACAAAATTTGAGTTTCCTCAGAATCAGTGCATCAGTTTGATGGAACGTTTCACCAGTTGGGTGATTTATTATTATTTGTTTTAACCTTCTTTTTAATCCTGATCCGAACGAGGGTAATTAATTTGTGTGAAAGACAGCAGGCTAGTCATAATTTGGCCAGAATCTCACATCAATTTAGTTCATGATTTATCTGTTGAAGAAAGTTAAATCAATACAAGCCAAATTTAAAACAAATATTTATATTTTGCATCATCTTGACTCAGTTTGTTTAAATGTCATTCTTTGAGTGTGTCTGTTGCAGGCTGCATCGTTTTGCTTTTTCTAAAACAGCAGCAATATTCTGTGCTGAGCAGAAGTCCTTACCCCCATGTTCTGTCATAAAGAGACTGTGGATCACGAGAAGTCTCTCTCCTGCTCATCTCATGTGTTGTAAAGTCTGCTATAGCCAGTATCAGTACAAAAGGAGGAAAACCGAAATATTTCAGATGTTGCCGAGAAGTCAATTAAAATGACTTAATCAGTAATTAGTGGGACTGTTTTAGTTTCAGTTCTGTGGAATTTTTACATGCTTCCCACCATTCCATTAAATCCTGCCTGATGAAATGCAGGAATTAACCATCATCTACAGTTGTTCAAGAGAAGTGATTGAAATGCTTTGTGCTTTGTTCTCAAGTCCGCAAGTGAAGATGCTGCCTGGGCTGTACTTGAATTCTAGATGTGAAGAGCACCTGGTTGCTGCAAAGCTAGAGAGCCAGGTGGGGGAAGCATTCCTGTGGGGCTGAAGCCAGTTCACCAATAATTGTGCAATATGACATCTGTAAAGCACATCCTCAGTTAATAACTTTCCAAATCTTGTAGACTCAGGAGAATCTTGATTTTTTTTCTGAGCACTTTGAGATGGAAACATTCACAGGAATGTCAGTTGGCAGCATCAAAAAATCACTCATGCCAGTTTATTGGAGTTGACTTCTTCCAGTGGATGAGTGCAGTTTTCCATGGGCAGGCAGTGTGGGGGAACACAGCTGTGCAGTGCTTCTGGCCTACTCTGCCCTTTCTGTGTGTGCCAGGTATCATTGGAGGTCTGACAAGCGTCATCACTTCAACAGTAGAAGGTGTGAAGACTGAAGGAGGTGTCAGTGGTTTCATATCAGGTCTTGGGAAGGGTCTGGTTGGCACAGTAACCAAACCTGTTGCTGGAGCTCTGGATTTTGCATCAGAAACTGCACAGGCAGTGAGGGACACCGCGACTCTGAGCGGCCCCAGGTCAGTAAGTGCTTTATATTGCCAATCAGCTATAATGTTAAATGTGTTTAATGGTACCTGCTGCAATTTCTAACCTGATCATCTTTCCTTGCCCAAAGAAGCTGTTGATCAATCAAATACACTGTGTGATATAGCCTACTTTAATTAACTTCATTTTCCTTGGCAAGTTTTTTCAGTGGTATCTGCTGGTACTTTACTCTTAGTTAAATTAGAAAAGCTGCAACATAAAATCCTGATTTTCATTTCTACAATGGTTCTCATTTACCAAAAATGTGGATGTGTGCCATTATTTGCACATGTCTGTGTTAGGAGTCAGTACATGTGGACAGCTCATTGACCTCTGGCCCATGCTCAGCATAACCTGGTCTGGACAAAATAATGAGTATCCTTAAACTAAATGAAGTATTTCACAGAATGAGCCTAGGTGTGCTTTGTTGTGGAAATGGAAGTGTCCACATAGATGTTCCTGTTCCTTAACTTGCTTTGTAAAACCAAGAGGTCAAGGTTTACTATTGGGTAAGTAAGTGTGCATACATAGAATTACACATGAAGTGTAAGCAGACCCCTAAGAAAACACATGTGCTGATTTGTTGGCACATTTTCTGAAGTTGTGACTGCAGATTTATTTACCAAAAGGTGAGGAGAAGCACACCTGGCTGTCCTGCAGGCTGTCTCAGCAGCTGAGCTGTGTTGTTACTACAGGTTGTTTCAGGATGTGTGTTCAGGATGGTACTTAAAATTCATCTTTACTTCTGTGAGATCCCAGACTATAAGCAGTAGTGGTGATGTTGCCAACAGCTGATAAACTACCCAGCAACTGAGAGGGGATCCCCAACCAGCCTTATCTCCTGCTTGTGTCTGCCTTGGTGACATATTTCCCTTTAACTTGTTAACTGTCAGTTATGAGATAAGGCCAGTGAGCTGAACTACAGAATTCTGAAATACTATCATCAGACCAGCACTGGGAAATGATTTTCTTCTTTAAATACGCTGTAATAAATGTTTGGCCCACCAACACTACAAGGAAAATCTCTGCCACTTACATAATGAAGCAACCAGATTGGTTTTTTTTTTCAGGGGTATAAAAAAGAACAACAAAGGATTTGGACGTTCCTTGGGTTGCTGTGTACCAAATATCCCCCTGCTGCATTTGTTAACTGTTCAAATATGTGCAGTTTGGAATCAAAATAGAACAGTGTTCCAAACTCAGGATGCTGGCTCCTGTTGAATTTTCTGTTTTAAGTGTGTGCTGGGCCATGCAGACTCCTCCAAGCTAAGTGCACCAAACATCCAACTGCTGAAAATGAGTTTGTGGCAGTAACTGATCTCAAAAGTATTCTGAACAAGTAGGAATGATGAGCATTTTAGGAACTGTCCTGAACTTATCATGAGGCTGACAGCTAAGGTGTAAGTTTCAGGTATTGGTGCAGAAAGTGTTAGCAGTTAATTACAGCTCTACTGAAATAGCATGGGAAGTAACTGTAAATTAAAGGCCCTTGCAGTTCTCTTTATCTTACGGGTCAATTTCTTCATTATTTCTTTATTAAATTAAAAAAAAAAAAGAGCCCTGAAATGATGCTGCTTGGCTTCAAATTTTACTGAATTTGAGTTGGAGAGCAATGGGGAAGACTCTGTGGCTTGTGTTACTCGGTGATTGTGCTCCTTGGACAGAAATCTCTGTTGGTTTCAGATGTATTGATTTGTACTGGGATTCATGCAGCTAGCAAAACCTCTGTGTTTGCAGTGTGGAGCCAAGCTCAGTCCTGCTGAGACACAGACGATGGCTTTATAGCTTACTGTGGTAGTTTAAAATGTGATGTGTTTAAAGGGCAAGCAGATATTTTCAAGTCTAACTATAGGCTGGACGTTTTCAAGGCTAATCTTAAGTGTTACTGTATTGTATTCGTAATTTATGAATAAAGCTGCCTTAATATTTTTAAATTTTAATGCCGGGGATAAAAGAAAACAGTTGTTGGCAACGCCGTATCCATCTAATTTATAAACAGTTAATGTTGTGACTTTATACCTTTCTGGGGGGGTTTATGCGTTCCAAGCACTGCAGTGTCACATACAAGAGTTCTGATTATTTCCATACTTGTCATACATTGCCAGAAGTCTTAAAGGCCAGCTCAGAACAGGAAAGCTGTTGTATCTCTAGATGTGCTTGGAAGGCTCTCCTAGAGACCTGTGTTAACTCCTAGCACAGCCCAGGTTCAGGGGGTGGATTCAGATGTGCGTCCAATTGATGAGCAGCACACAGAACTGCTGCTGCAGTGCTGTCAGGATTCTGCCAGGTCAGGGCACATCTTGAACCTTGTTTTGTCACTGCTGAGCTGCTGCTGGGAGGGCTCACGTCCTTATCGGATTGGCAGAAGTAAGGGGGCGACTTCCTGGCCTGCTCAATTCTCATAATGCTGTCAGCGAGCCAGTTGTATTAGTTAAAAATAGAGGCTGCCGTGCCATTAAGGGACCTAGAAAATTCTTCTGGAGGTAGTTGTTTCTTCTAAATGCATCTGGAAGGAAGCATCCTGCACTGGTTTTTCTTTGTTCACCACCTTTCATGTTATCGCTCAGAAATACATGATGAGCTTGCAAAGATTGAGACAATGCCAGCAGCAGGTAATTTATTATTAATTGGTTGATATGCTTATTTTCCACTCTGTGCATCCATCTCACTGTCAGCTACAACTCTCACTGTAGATCTAAAAGCATTACACTCAAGGGCATGAGAATACCTTGAAAAGGGGAAATAGAAAATGTGTAAATAATTGTCTGGAAGGTCGTCCTGGCTGATTCATTCTCAGCGTTTTGCATTTTGATGACAGGCATTGCTTGAACCTTAACACCTCTGTGCTTGTCCCCACATCCCTCCTTCCCTTGTGCTCCATTGAGACCTGACTCAGAGTCTTCAGAGCTCTGCCATTTATGGGCCAGGGCTGTGATGCAGTTGGCACTGCTGTCCTACTGGGAACCCTTCACAAGGTGTCCATACACAGCTGAGGTTACACGTACAGCCAGCAGTCACTGTGTTGGGTAAATCTGGAAATGGCTCATACGTTCCGCTTGAGCTGATTTATCAGTCAGATCTGTAAATAATTTCAGCACTGTGATTTCCTTCATATCCTCTTTCCTCTCTTTTTCTCATAGGTACATAATAGGCCTTTATTATGAACTGTTTTCTCAAATGAATTGCTTTGTTGGGTTTTTTCTTCTTTTTTCAGCATTTGTCCCTTTTTCTCCCATGGCACCACGTTAAATCCCTGTAGCCATTTGCTTTTCTTCCATGTTAGCTCTGCCTTCTTCCATCATTAGTCACCATGGTACTTCTTTGTCTAGCTTCAAGCTTTTATTATCTCCCTGTCCAGGTTCTTCCATTGCTGTTGTTGAGCTACTCTGCAGTCCCACAGTCTGTATGTTCCCACCCACACTGTGTGCAGAGGGACTGCCATATCCCTGTTCTGTGATGAGCTGTGCTCTGCAAGTCATCCAAAACCACGCTGGCTGCTTGGACTGCCATATCACATTGCAAATTGATGTCCAGTTCTCTGCGTGCTGTTTTCCCCCAAGAGTTTTTTGTTTTGTTTCACTGCATTGCAAGTATCTCCTTGTCATTTAATATTTGTGTTCTGGGTTATTTTTCCCTAGATGAACCGGGCTGCAGTTTTGTAGGTCGAGTCCATTTCATTTCCTGCCATATTTCTGACCTCTTCAGGTTCTTCAGTGTTTCACTGTCCTCACTGGAGTTTTAAACATCTTGTAGCTTGTCCTCTGTAAATAGAATTTTATAGGCTGCTTTTACTGGATCCCTGAAGCTGAAGCTCTGCATGGTAGACACTTGCTGTTCTAATCGATAGTTTTCTGTTACCAGTCTCACCTGCTCAATATTCTTCTGTGAGGTTTTAAGTTACCATTGGTAATGTCCAGTAGTTCTGCAGGAGCTCCTCTTCAGTTCTTCAGATGTTTGTTGTGTAAGTGAACATCGATTTTCTGGTGGTGTAAAATGGTTCCTCAGAGCGCAGCCTTTGTGCCTCTTCAGTATGGATACTTTTATTTCCAAACTTCATTTTTTTCTAAAAATGCACTTCTCAACTATTTTTGTTTCTTTAATAGAGAGTCAACAATCCGGCACCTAATCGCTTAAAATAATTTCATCTTAAATTAGGCTACCCGTAAGGGGGAGCACCAAACCACCCTCTCTTCCTTTTGCCTGTTCCAAGAATGCTTCTTACCTTGCAGGACCCTTCTGGCCTGAAGTTATAACATGGTTTTCTCTTCTGCATCTTTCTGAAGAATTACTTTTTTTCTTGCCTTTACTTGGAACTGCTTTCCAAATGAATGGCTTGGATTAGGAAGAATTGAATTTGCCTGGAGTGGAATCCTACAGGATTGACAGTATGTTCACCTGTCTGCTTCCTCATAAAGCTCTATGGAACAGCCTAGGTGTGTTTGGGGCACCTGGATGACTCTTGTTTCTGAGTACCTCCAGCCATGAGAGATGGGGATGGTATTCACTGCTGTCCCATATTTCACCACGCTTTTGAATCTGCATGCTAGTTCTTAGGAAGTCAGCAGTTAGGGAATAAAGCTTACTTGTTGAGTATTAAAACAGTGTAATTTACAGAGTGATAAATATTTTTTTGGTCACATTCCAGAGAGGACAGTAGAGAGACCCAGGAATTTTTGTGTGTGTGAGAAACACACTTGGTGTCACTGCTCTGAAAGGCAATTATTTGGGAGCACAGCCTTTGTTTTGCACAGGAAAGCAGAATTTTATTGAAGGTTGAAGAAAATAGCTCTGATTCACACAGGTGGTTTTTTTTCCTGATGTTTTTTTATCCACATGATTTAGTAAAAGGTGGGCGAACCTGTAAAACATTCAGGTTGCTTCATGTTACTTTGTTGTGGGGTCTGTAACTGTAGAGCTGTCTGTATCAAATGTCACTTTGCTTCCAGAACAATACATGGTTGGGTTTTGGAAGGCACTTCTTGCTTTGTAGCACCCAGAAGAAGCTGAGATGATTCAGAGGATCCAAACTGTGCATTAACACATTTCTCTCGCTTTCCTTTTCAGTGGGATGAATGGACATAAATTGGTACCAGCTGTCAAACCAAAGCAGAATGCCTCTATGCATTACTGCAAATGTCTCTATTGCTGAGTGTTTCCATGAGGTTATTGCTAGACATTACTGGTCAGCGTGTGAAATGTGTTTGGAATATTTCTGAATTCAGTTGTCTTACCAGTTGGCTGTCTCTGTCCCTTTTTCTTGAACTTGACCCAATTTAACTATTCTGGAGGAGTGGGAGAATAAAAGCAGGGTGTTTGGATGTATGGCTGCCACATAATGCTTTATTGGTATGGGATAGGTGTGCTTTCTTTCACATCTGCTGTATATGAGTGTTTTTAAGATGAAAAAGCTAAACAATTACTGGCTTGCATTAGGTGTTGTTCAGCTGCAGATCTGACATTTTGCATATATTACACATGATGGAGCATGCAAGCTAGACTTGGAGCAGTAACTTGGTCTCAGGTGAGGTCAGTAAAGTTGAAAGCAAACATCTTACCTGTTTTTAAATATGATTCTTAACACCAGAGGATTGCAGTTGCTGAGGCTGTTCTTCAGAGCTCCCAGTTGCATTTCACTTCTGATTTTTGTGCAGTCTCCATATTTGCAGAATTCTAGATGCTTTAAATTCCGGTAGAGATTGCTAAGCTTTAATTAAGACTTCCTTCTGTTTAAAGCCTTTTGCTCTGCCATGACAGAGGGTGTCCCTGCTCTTACAACTGATTGAAAGACTGCTTTAAAAAACAGAGTGGTCACTGGGTTCATTCCTATTCATGTTCTAAAACCAATTGTCTATTTTTTTTACATAAATATTTTCCACAAAGCATCAATGTTTAACTGGACATCTGAGGACAGAAAGGTGCCCCTGGCTGCCTGCAGGCTGTTGGGTAAGGGACAGAGGGGGCAAGGAGCACTGGAATGGAATGTTGGGAGGGGAGGGCAGATGAATGAAAACAGAAAACATGAAGTGAATGGTGCTGGGCAGTTAACAGAGCAGAACATGTGACATTATGTTTTTCTTCAGATGTCTATTCGTTATTATCAGCAAACAGCTTCAAAAAGTGAATACTGAGGTCTTACTGTGATGGTCTCCACAAAACCAGAGTTCTTGCTAGCACCTCAGTGCATTACATCTGGGGCAGGAGTGTTTCTATCACTGGAGTGAAACACAGAGCTTCTGCACCCAACAAAAACCTGTTCCTGGAACTGGGATCACAACAGGAACCAGATTTAGCTGAATTCATTGAGTACAATAACTGGTTTTGAAAAGATAAAAGCTTGTGAGGAAGAAGCCTTGTTGTATTAGACCAGTCTTGCTCACTTTCAGGTGCAACACTTCTGTGAAGACCTGGGGAAGCTGCTTCTCCTTAGGACGAGCAGACATTTACAGCAGATAAATATGCTCAGCAGGTGAGGTGACATCCCAGGTGCTGTCGTGGAGCTGGTGTAGCCCATCAGAAAGTCCAGCAATTTCACAGACCTTCTTCTGGAAAGAGCTGAGAAATCCCTTGCTGGATTTAGCACAGATTTACTCCATGAATTACACTGCAAGTGGCAGTTAAGAGGCCTGGATTCACTTCACAAAATGAAATTCATATACCATGTGTGTACTTGACAGCGTTTAGCTATTAATTTCATTTCCTTAGGATTTTAGACTAATTAGATACAAACTTATTTACTGAAAGGAACACATCTAGACAGGGAGAAAAAATGCTTTCCTTAGAAACCCTTGTATTTCTGCAGCCTGTGTGTTCTGCCAAATTATTTCAGCAGCTTTTGGACGAGAAGGAGAAAAGTAAATGGAACACTTTATTGTGTTGTGTATTTCCTGTCTTCTGGCATTTGTGTAGTTTATAGATCCTTCCTTATTCAGGAAGCCCTCTGCTAAAAGGAACTGCTGTTACAGTGTATTTCTGTAATAGTTCTTGATTTAAAACAACTGCCCAGAGCTGCACACTTCACTGGTGTGCAAAGATGCAAATTGTGTGCAAATAAAACCTCGAGTGGAATTGGGCAGCCTTTGAAAAAACCAAAACATCGTATTAATATGTTATTATCAGCCAAATCAGCTAAAAAGTCTTCAAAGAACAGGCAAGAAAGTACTCAGAATTTCCACTTGCAGGTCTACTTGCTTAGAATTAGGTGAGATGTTAAAAGCATAGAAGAACCAGAAATGAACAAAAGCTTTATTCAAAACAGACGTGTCTCTTGGAATGCATCAGGCCAAATCATCAGACTGCATTCAACCAGTCGGACTCGATCCCCAGAACTGAAAACATTTAATGCACGTTCTGTGGGTTTTTATAATGTCTTTTGGCCATGTTACGAGTATTTTCAGTTCATAAAAATAGTAGAAAAGATGAAACTGGTGTTAATGCAATAGGAATACAGCATTTGTTTATTTACTGGAGCACAAATGGCAAGAGCTGCTCACCAGTGCAATGGCTGTATGAGCTCATGTCCTGGAATACCTGCTTGTTGTGCCAGAGGGGTGAAGTCTAGTCCAGCAGGGCTGGGGCAGCTGTCTGGGAATAGGTTTTACTGGCCTGGTACAGAGGAAGCAAAGCACAGATGTTTTCAGTACTTTGCATCTTATCTTACCCATCATCAGTAGGAGTCCCTGTGGCTTCCCATGGACGTATTTGCTCCTGGTGCCTGTATCTGGAATGCCATCTTTCAAGTTCTTTCCGTTCACTTTCACTCCTGAGTTTGCCTTGCTATCACTTCAAAGATTTCTTTATGTCGTTCATCTTTCTGTCCTGTATCATAGAATCACAGAATCCTTAGAATTGGAAGGGACCTCTGAAGGCCATCTAGTCCAGCTCCCCTGCAGTGAGCAGGGACAAGTGTCCTTTAATTACTGCAGTAATAAAGCTTTGAGTAGAGAGCATGTGAGCACTCCACAAGGGGCCTGCTTCTGCTCCGAGACCAGATACAGAGATGGAGGAAATGTCTGCAAGGCACAAAGGGGAAGTCTTGTTTCCTCTCCCTCTGTATTTCCAGTAGTTTGGTGTGTTAGAAGAGTCACTTCCTGCTAATTCTTCCCAAGTGCCAATCCCATGGCATCATCTCTGAGGTTTCTCCATAATATGACAGATATGACAACCTGCTGATGGACTGGCGCTGTCTGCCTGACAAGCTTTGTTTTCAAACTAAAGCTGCAGCACTGCTGTAGAACTGTTTGCAAGCAGCACTTTGAGCCAGGTTAGCTTGGGTTCGTAGTTACGGAGTAATTACAGGCTTACCTGAATGCAAACGACCTTGTGCCCAAGGTATGTGCTGACATGCTGTTAGCCTGTTTACCTGTTGCTAGACAGGCTTTTTTCCTTTGTCATTAACGGTGAGGTTTTATGTTCAGTCCGAGTCCGTACATGGGGCCCAGGGCCTGCTGGGATAGGGTTTTACACTTGTGCTGTCCTTTTGCCCTTCCACTGAACTCTTTTCATTTCAGTCATGAGCAAACAGTCAGTGCCTGAACTAACAACCCTGCAATCCTCCAAAGCACGCCTCGCTTACAGTACCAAACAAAGGGAGGCCTGCGTGGGCCGGCCCAAGCCAAGGAATGCAGCTTCGGGGTTCTGCTCCATAAATTTAACCAGCACGACAAAAAGGAGATAATATGAGCCTTCGTGATGATCTGAAAGGGGGAGGTTTGTGTCCCATTGATTGCGGTCTGGCCTATTGCCAGGCCCCGAGCCTGACCGACAGTTGAACCATATCGTTAAGGCGTGTAATACAGCTCAAGTCTTGTACAGCAGCCAATGAGTACATATCCAGAGGGCAAAAGTTTATAAAGAGTTGAGGCTGTCCTGTTTAACCCTCTCACACTGCATGTAATATATACTGCTGCCATTCAGAAATAGTCCCATTGCTATTAAAAATGTAAACCTTCAACTTTCTTTACTTGGAAGAAATACATGTGTGTCTGATTTCTAATGTGCAGCAGATTTATAAAGTGATCTGAGAAAAATATGTAAAACTGATCCTTCAGAAAAAACCAATCCAACCCCCCCTTATTCTTTTTCCACTGCTTTATCCATAGTTGGTTACTTTTGTTGAGATGTCTTCTGGTTGTTATGCAGAATCTTTCATACAGATGGAGCTATTTATTGCCTTGATGTCACCTCATTTAGCATGTGGCTGGTATTTTTATAGATAATTTTTTCACCTAATGTTGCTGTTAACATGTGGAGCGCTCTTTAGCAGTTCTGGAAGTGCAGCCAGTTGATTTAAATTGCTTTTGCAACTGTTAGTGCTAAAGAGCCAAACAGACGTCCTGAGGAGTCGTCATTCAGTGACTGTTGTGCTGGTGGGCTGCAAAGGGCACCACGTAGGGTGTGAAGAGAAGATGCAGAGGGTGAGCACGGCCCATTTCACACAGTCCTTCATGCACAACTGATAGTTAATGCTGGGTAGCAGGCAGTGGTTTGCATTTTGCACTCCAAGTGAAATGACCACTTCTGCAATTACTGTAAGTGGGCGTTGCTTGGCCAGCATGGATGGTTTGTGATGGGACCATTGTAAACATGAACGTAATGTCAGCAGACTGGGCTTAGAAGTTTCAGTACTGCACTGTGTCCCAGGGCAGAGTGACAGTGTGGCCCTGAGCTTTTTAAGGCCAAATTCAGCTCTTCTCATTCAGATGGATACTGGAAAGAAAGCGCTGCAAAGAACCTTATCTTTCACATGGAATCAGAGGGTGAATGGGAGCATTTTTCAGCACGTTGGTGAGACAAGAAACTTCAAGGCCAGTAACATGACTCTGTGGTCAGTGCAGCAAGAGCCTGGGATAAACTGGAAACTGAGAAGGCAGTGTTTATTTACATATTTTTTTTCATCTCTTAATCTTGATGATACCAAAGTGCTTGAAGAAGCTTGCTGCATTATTAGGTAAGGAAGTACCAAAGGTTGAATAGTGAATGATGTGCTGAGTACTGCAGTTTTTCAGTATATAAACACATGCAGCTCACACAGACCTTGGATTTCTGATAGGGATGTCTTAAGGATGTGCTGTTTCAGTGAGTACATCTGCTCCTCTGTTGTTTGCAAGGAAGTGATTCTTAGCTTTAACTTCTCGCTTCCTTTTGAAGTGGGAGCCTTTAGAGATTGTATACAATCATAACCCCAGTGAATAGTACTCAATTTTGGTTTGATCTTGTATACAAAGGAAAGGGGGAGGGGAGAAAATAGCTCCATCTCAAAGAGGCTGGCAGGAACCGCCTGCATGATAAGCAGTTCCTTCTTCAGCATGCTGCTCTGTCTGAGAGTATCCTGAGTCAGATAAAGGTCCTCTGTATCTGAGCTCGTAGATCCATCCAGAGAGGAGGGATTTGACTTTAAGTGGGAGGTTTTAACCCGAGGCACCGTTTATTTGTATGTTTCTGCCTGAAACAAGCATTCTGGGAACACGTTTAACGAGTACAATATATTCCATGCATTTGCTGGAATAAACGGTGCATATAAGCTTCCTCAGATATGCAGTCAGCAGGGAGCTGTCTGGCTCAAGATTTTACACATTCTTGCATCTAACTGAGATACTCTAATGCCAAATCCAATATCCAGACTGCACCGTGTGTGCGTTTGTAACACACCTTAAAAACATCTGTCTGAATTGGTGAACAAATTCCATCACAGCTCGCTGGGTTCAGGTGGCAAAGTCCTCCTCCAAGAAACCATCTGCCCATTGGGAACTGCAGCCCCAAAGCCCAGCAAGTGGGCAATAATTCTTCGGTCAGGAGGTGCAGCTTTCCCTTCTGCCATGAATCTGTGATGGTCGTAAGGCTGTGTGAAACTGAGCCCAAGTCATGTAACGTTCGCATGCTCAGACGCAGAGAACACACTGCTCAGTGAAGGTGGAAGATGTTCCAGCTTGTCACAGCAGTTCATCATTTGAAACAAAGTACAGTTAAGGACATCACTGAGGAATTGTGGCAATGGTGGATTTTTAGTATTTTGCAAAACTGTAATAGGAAATATAGGCCTTCCCAGCAATGGCATACGTTTGTTTTCATTTCTTATCCCGTGGTATGACTGCGTTGTCTGTGGTTCTGCTGTGATTGCTGAACTTGGAGGTTATTTTTCAACTGACTGTGGCACTTCTGAGTGTGCTTACACTGTGTTCTCCTATTGTGGACTTTGGAGGTGGTTAAGCACTGTCTTCGTCCTGCTTTCTGTGGAAATACACATGGATGAAGGCTGCAGGTGGAATTCACTCTGAACTCCAACTGTGGCGGGTATTTTAGCTGGTGTGTATTTTACAGCAGAAGATGTAAGACTATTCTTCTTTTAATTTACTGGATTAAGTCTCTTCTGCATGTCTGAAATGCACTAAACCCCCACAGACAAAGCACGCACTGTATTTATGAAGCAGACTTTTTCCAGAGCCACGTAAGTAACAGGTTTAGTATTATTTCTCCAAAATACCAGCAGCAATTGAATTGTTCCATAGGCTTATACTGCCTGCCAATTTTCCTTTGTTTGAACTAAGGTTGCTTTCTAATTATTGCAGTGGGGGGAAATTGTTCCCAGGCTGAAGGTCAGTATTGCCAAGTTACAGCCCTGAGCAGGCTTCCAGTGATAGATTTAATGCAAACTTGGAAAAGAAAAAAAAAAGCACGCAGGTTTATGCAATGGAAACAGTGACAGGATTTGAGCTATACCAGAACCAGTGAGTTTATTGCTCCAAACAGGTTAGAAGGACAAGGCTGTTAGACTGCAGCACCTTTATGAACACCACGTATTGATGAAAAAGCTGGAAGGTTTTGGCAGCAAAAACTGGGTCTAGCTGCAAAAGGAACTTTTACTGGGAAGTGTGGGAGAGGGCTGTGCATACAGACAGCTCTCAGAGGCTGCCATGGCTGATCTCTGCACTGCTGGCTGCCAACCAGGATTTAGTGCAGGGTTTGGGTGTCAGTCAGTCCAGCAGCTGAAGCTTCTGCAAGAGCCTCTTCCATTCAGCACTGCTTTCAGAATGCCAGAGTTATGTTCCTTGCACTTACAGCTGTTGTTTGTGCTGGGCTTTGGGTGTCCTCGTGCTCTTTTGATTACAGATCAAAATCTGGATGCAGGTTATAAGCTCAAGTTGAGCTTCTCAAATAGGTGAATAGTTGCCAGTGCTGCTCCTTGACCAGAACAGGAGGTTTGAAATTCAGATAAACATATTTAATAAAGTTATATTGATTGCTGTGTTGGTCATGGGTAATAACAAGTACTTCAGCAACAATAACCTCTTCTATTACGAAAGGTTGAGGGAACAGGGCATATTTAGCTTGGAGAACAGAAGGCTTTGGGGAGATCTCATTGTGGCCTCCTAGTACTTGAAGGGTGTGTATAAACAGGAGGGGGAACGGCTGGTTGTGAGGGTGGGTAGTGATAGGACAAGGGGGAATGGTTTTAAAGTGAGACTGGGGAGGTTTAGGTTGGATATGAGGAGGAAGTTTTTCAGCCAGAGGGTGGTGAGGCACTGGAACAGGTTGCCCAAGGAGGCTGTGATGCCCCATCCCTGCAGGCATTCAAGGCCAGGCTGGATGTGGCTCTGGGCAGCCTGGGCTGCTGGTTGGTGACCTGCACACAGCAGGGGGTTGGAACTGGATGAGCACTGTGCTCCTTTGCAACCCAGGCCATTCTATGACTCTGTGACAAGTACAGTTAGGTGCATTTTTACCTATATCATTTCAGAAGTGCAGTGTTTCGTTTTCACAGATTACTTGTTACCTGTTGCTAAAGTTTGTTCCCTTCTGATCTAAGTTATGAGGAGGCAGTCTGCTAGGAAATGTGTAGTCTCAAAGGACACTCAAACGTGTAACATATCTGCTCTCAATAACTACATGTACACCCACTGAGAATCACATCTGATGGTGTACTATAAACCTGTGGTAAAGGATCAAGGATAAAACATAGTTCCCTAAAACGCAGAAGTTTTTTCAGTCTGAGTTGGTGAACAGTTCTCTCAGCAGTAAAAGCAAATACCTTCCGTACATCACTGCACTGTGATCTGTCTGAATACAGAAATTCTGGTTGAAAACTGGTGGACTGAGTCACATGAATTCTATGAACTGTTAAGCAAAAGCCAATTAACACCACTGGCTGTTTTTAGAGGGTGTACGGCCATCTGAAATGAGATTCTCCACTGTTCAGCTTTGTATGAACAGTGAAGAGCTGCAATGTGTGCCTCAACCTTCTGACACCATTTCCAATCTCTTTGTGTCTCCATTCAGCAGCGCTCCTCCCTGCTGTGACTGGTAGACATGAGGGCATTTCTGTCTTGTATTGCCTTTTGTGTGCTTATTAAAAAAGAATCAGCAAATCTGTTGAGTGCATGTTTAATGTAACACAGATGTGGGCACACCACTGTTCATTCTGCTTTACAAGTCTTCACTTTTTGCATTTCATCAGTATTGCTTATTATTTACAGAACGTAACTTGAGATGGTTGAACAAATTTTTAGATTAAAATAAAAAAAAAAAAAAAAAGAGTTGTGTGGAATGTTGTTGGCTGTCCAGACCAAACAGAGCAGTTTGCCAAGGGGCTGATGGACTAAATCAATGCAATTTAGGCTAGCTCTAGTGAAACTTCATTGAAAAGCAGCCGCCTTCTTACCACCAGGATGAACTTTTGCCATGGAGGCAGTAAGTGCTGTACTTTCAATACTTAGAATCAGAGAATCACAGAATGGCCTGGGTTGAAAAAGACCACAATGATCTCTTGTTCCAACCCCCTGCTGTGTGCAGATCGCCAACCAGCAGCCCAGGCTGCCCAGAGCCACATCCAGCCTGGCCTTGGATGCCTGCAGGGATGGGGCATCACAGCCTCCTTGGGCAACCTGTTCCAGTGCCTCATCTCTGGAAATAACAGCGTGGAAAAAAATAGCATGGTTGAATGTTTATCTGAAAGTTGGTTAATGCAAAAACCGTTCTGCAGTGTCGTTGCTCATAATAGGAAAAGTGTCAAAGTGAAACACTGATGATTGGCCCACAGTGAGTTAAAAAGTGCATTATGCTTCACATGTTTACCCTCTACACTGAGTTAATAGGAAGTACAAGTGCTCTGGAGGGGTTTAACAGCCAGTCAGGGCTTCCTGGGTAAGAAAAGCACTGTTATTGTGCTGCTTTGGAAAGTGAGGATGCAGTACAAGTAGCAATATGTGAATATTACAGTGGCTCAAACTTTTTAATTTATTTGGGTTTTGCATTTCATAAACAGAAATACACGTCTTGCTTACTGGTTGTAAGAATATGTAAGAAAAGGTGGCCAATATGTTCACTTCCTATGTGGGTTCCAAAATAGAATACTACTACTATGCAGCTGTGCCTGCTATAGATAAATCCTGGTTTTAGCTGGAAAATGTAAGGGGCAGGAGAGGTGAACTGCTCTAAGTTGCAGTAATTAATGCTGTGGTTCTAACAACTGTACACAGCTGTTACTCAGTGGAATACTTTTAACTGGGGTACTTGTGGCTATCATGTTTACCTAGTGCTTAGGTTCAGATAAATGCTACTAATGGAAGAATACAGTTTTAAGACATTACATTTTTGCAAATGAGGGTAACAAAGGACCTCCACAGCAAACTGAATTTTCATACTGTTATTTCTCTGTAATTAACAAATGTCTTACCAAAACCCAAGCAGTAAAGCAGCGAGAACATCTGGGTGCAGAGGTACAACTAAAATTGGATAACATTTGACTGGTATTAACAATCACTTTTGTTATGGTTTCATAAACCTCTGCTTTGTTTTGTGTTCCTTAATTTGGAGAATTTCCACTTTTCATTTCATTCTTCCTGCACACAAATTGACTTCCCATCTTAGCATGGCCGTAGTTCAGCTGAAGTGCAGTCACTGAAGTCTGCATCTTTTTGTCCTCCCTGAATTCCTCAGGAGGATCAGTGCTACTTCTGAGCCACTGTAAATGTGCTGTGCAGGTCAGGGATGTAATAAGCTCATTAACAAAATTAGAACTTAGCAGGTAGCCGTGGTGCATTAGAACCATAAGCTGGCTGATGTTTTTGTCTGCTGTGGTGGGAGTCGCTACCTTTGACTTCTCTACCTTGTTTGCAAAATACATGGCTGATATCAAACAGAGCAACGATAGTCAAAACACACTGAGGGAGGTCAGTCACCCAACAGGAGGGCAGCAAAGATATGTAAAAGATTCTCTTCCAACAGTATTTACTGCAGCCAAGAAGGGAAGGGGCAAAAAAAGTTGTCTGTCATGATTAAAAGGCAAGGGTGTCAAAGACTGGAAGGAAAACACATTTTAGAAGTGTGCATGTGTTTTAAGCCTGGGACAGGATTGCTGAAGGTGAAAGGTAACAAAGAAACAGGGCTCCAGAGAAAACATCTGCAGAAAGCAAAGCTTAGAAGGCAAGTGCTCTTGTGTGCTATTGCCAAGCAGCTTAGAAAGAAAAGCCATAGTTACATGGGATTTATTCTGCTATCTTTTGATCAAAAAGCATAGAGACAGTTCACTGTACGGAGGCTTTACAAAGTATCAAGATGGGAAGTAGAGTGAAAATGGTGCATTTGGCTCGAAACACCAGGAACAGCAGTAGTTTGGGAGGTATGAAGCCATGCAGCAATCCCACAGCAATGCTATTGGGAAAGGACAGGGAATAAAGCAGGGCTGTGCTGCCTGTAACACAGATCTTCATGGGTAGGGCGTTCCAAAAGCTAAAAGGAATTCAGAATATTATTTTTTAACAAAATACTGCGAAGGGAGGAACCTACCCTGTGATTCTTTAGCACTATGGCCTGTATCAACCTTTGATGTCTCAGGCCATATATGTCTTTTTATTATTGTCATTTTTAATAAATGTTCAGGAAAGGTAAAGTATGCTAAACCTTGCTTACAAGGTTCTGCTTTTTTCTCTTAACTTTACTGCATGCTCCTATTTCTGTAACCCTTCAGTTTTCAAACTACTGGCAGTTGTCTGTTAGTGACAGCTCCACCTCGGTCTGTGCGCTCCTATTTTCTTTAGACAAGTGGGAAGAAGTGGTCAAATCAATTGAACTCTACTAATAATAAATAGATCAGAAACCTTGTGGATGGTATACTCAGTCTGTTTCTTCATATTAATTTAGCACACTGCCCCTTACATGTACAAAAAACCTGAGATTAATTTGAAATGTAAAGCCACGTGAATAGATATTGTGTCTGAGATCCATATGCTGTATTTGTGAAGACCTTCTATTTTCTAGAGGCTCAGTCGCACCTCCTATTTCAAAACAAAGCCAACTCTGTGTGCTGACAGGTTTAAGTGGAATTAAAAGCCTTGCTGTTGCACAAAGTCATTTTTCTGCATCTATTCTGCATGCAGGACACAAGCAGAGAGAGTAAGAAAGCCACGCTGCTGCAGAGGACCCCAAGGGCTCTTGCCTCGCTACTCAGAAAGTGAAGCAGAAGGACAAGAACAGCTGTTCAAACTGACTGACAACATTCAGGATGAGTTGTAAGTACTGATTTACGCAGTTATTTAAGTAGTTCCATTTGCTACCACTGTATCTTTGTGCCTTTGGGAAAGGGATGAACATTATTTCCCATGCACATACAAGGCTATTTCAGGTGTTTTCTCTTGGTACTGAATCACAGCACACCCCAAGCTCCTGGTGGCTTCCACAGCAGCCCTTTCACTGACTCTGTACCAGTGTCACTGCAGGTGCCACAGGGTCCTGTGCTTCACTTGTTGCTAACTGTTGTAGATGCTGTTTCCAGATGAGTTGGAGCTATGGCTTCTCATCTCTCATGCCTTTTAATGATTCCAGTGTCTTTCTATCACCACAAAAGATGAAATTTCAGCTTCTAGGTAATTAGCATTTAACATGTATGTCCAATGCAAGCTAAACCCTCCTGTGCATAAACACGTGCTGCTGGAACCTCTATTCCTTGCACAGAGGCACATTCCTCATGCAGACAGAATTGCTATCTGTGCATTTATCTGTCTCTGTTGCCTGCTGTTTCTCCCAGCCCAAGGCCTAGCAGAGCAGCTGGAGGCTCCATGGCAGCAGTATGTGAATCACACTGTTAGGTGGGTGCATGCTGAGGTTGCTCTGGTATAGATGTGAGAGAAGCTAGTCAGATGCCTGTGATCCATGTTATTCCTAAGCTAAGGCTGTTAGCAGTAAATGAACAAAACCTGCACTATGAACATTGGTGGTTTTTTTTCCCAGAAAAGTCAGTATGGAATAATTTGAATGGGTAATAGATGCAGATCTGATGATGCATCTTATTTTTGAATGCCCTGGTTATGGGTGCATAAAAACAAGTGAAAACAGCAGATTTTTGGTCAGGTTAGGCAGTACAAAAAATCCATATTGAGTAGATGCACAGAAAGTTATCTGTTCGTTTGTCAGGTTGCTGGGGTAGGTTCTCATGGCATAATTCATTACTTAACCAAATTTCTCTCTCAGCTACCTGAACAGCTGTTTTCAGTAGACAGCATGAGATACTATGTTTTGCACTATCAGAGTATTTGCTCTGAGTATCTTCACATCAGAGCACTTGCCAAGGCAGAGCAGTCAGTTAGAATTGGTTTCAGTGCCTAAAGAAAAAAATGGCACCTCGTGGTGAAGCTCTCAAGGGAGTTCCCCCATTCACTGCACTGTCTCAACTCCACCAGCATCAATAATGAGGCACTGAAAGCTGTGTGCCTATGAGGAGGTCTGTAGTTGCCACTTGGTTGTGGCCCTGTGATCTTACAGTCAGTCATATTATCCTGTTTGCATCTTATTGAAAGGACTTAAATGGCGTATCTAGCCTCTAGGCTCTTTAAGTGGGGAGAATTGGAAGAGAACAATTTGTGATTAGAAAACCAAACTGTGTCAACTTTTGACAAGTGTACCCTATAAGCAGAACTGTGGGCTGTTGCCATTTCAGTCACGCTGTCCATGCGCTGTGACTTTCATCATTAGGAACATCACACAACAAGAAAACAGAAAATAAGTACAAAATTATGCCTCTGACTTTTATCCTAATATCATAATCAGAAACATATTTAGAGACCTGATTATTTGCATATTTTTCTTCAGAGTTAAATCCATAAAAGGGGGTTTAATACCTTGCTCTACTGTTCTAACTAAATGTTTCCACATTTTTTTCCAGTTAGACTCACTGTTTCACTTCTGGAAAATATTGTGTAATTACTTCCTGATGTTGTTAAAAACCCACAAATTCTCCAGAGGTCTGGTTGCTTCTGCTTTGTTCTACTGGATCATGTTTCATTTAATCTTCCATTTTATTAATTTGAAATTTTTAAAATAGTGTTGATGAAAGTTCGGGTTTTTTTAAATGTATAAATCAATGAAAGTAATATCTTGTAGTCGTATCTTAAAAGGTTAAATACCCATTTTGAGAACTAGGCCTGGAGAAGAAAATAAAATAACAGTTGGCAAGAGAAAATGGGTAATGATGCATGACTCAAAGTTAGAACAAAACGTAGAGCTTGAACTACAAACAAGCTGATGTTTCAGTGCTTCGCTATAAAATACGTCCCGTTTCCATTCCTCAAAGTACATGTAAGCACATGAAAAATCAGAGGTATAATCTTCTTATGGGGAAAAAAATACAGCCCTGTAGTCTGGTTTCCCAGTTGTTTCCACTGAACTTCACGGTAGCTTTTGCTAGTTGGGTTCTCTCTGAGGATATCTCCATACAGAAGGCTGGAATCCCATGTATGTGGAAAAAAACCAACAGTTCTGCTTTTGTGGGTGTACAACACCTTGTAAAATCTCTCAGCTTTACCTTGAAAGTTGCAAAGGATGGTAATAGAATATATTTGAGATTTCTGATGATCACCTTTTTTTAATTTTCTCTTCCTGCTGGAAAAGAAACAAAAGCAGTGTGCCAGCAGCTTTGCTCTGGTTGCTCTTCCAGTGGAAGCATAACCCAATGGGATCTCTGCAAAACACTGCTCTTTTATTTGCCTGTTCTCAGAAACAAGACTGTTCTGCAGGCTGCCCAGCAGGTTAAGAATGACTGTACTCTACTCACCACTTAAAATTGAACAACTTGAATGAGCATGTATATCTTTTTTCACCTTTATGGAAACCGAACTGTTAGCTGATATGACTAGAAGGCACAGGGCAGAGAAAAGACAAGTTCAGCACTGAACAGCATCTTGCAGACAAGTATTAATGGAAATTAATTACTAGAATTTTCTTTTGTATCATAAAATAAACCATGGTCTGAGCTTTAGAATATTTTCACTTGCTAACATTCCACTTGTAGCTGAAGGTTTATTGGATGTAACTCACAATAGTTTCTACGAAGTGTTACCTAAGAAAAACAGCAGGTTTGGAACTGGTCAGTGGAGATGGTGAACTTTTCAATCTAACAAAAGCTCTTAGGACTGAAAATCTTCAGTGTTTTCAAACACAGTGGAGTATTTGCTGAACATATCAGGGCAACAACAGATAGATATGTACAAATAACAGCTCAAAAAATAGTGAATTTGAACCCACCTGAAAGCAGGAGTATCTTAGTTTGACAGGTTTGTACTTTCATATAAAACTCAGCGCTCTTTTTTTCTTAATTGTGTCTCCATATAAAATTTTCTGAAAATTTCAGCTTTTTTCTTTGAAAAAAGAAAATCACAAATGGAGTTCATTTCAGTAGTAAATCACAAATGAGGGAGTGTTTGTGTGTGCATTATCTATTTCACTTCTGCGTTCCTTCCTGCTAATTTTTACACATCAACCTTTTTAGCCATCGTAATTCTCCATCTTCTTAATTCACTCTTTTCTACCTCCCCTATTCATCACTTGGACTAATCTCTCTGGGGAAACCTGCTTGCTGCTTAACCTTTCACCCCAGAGTTAAACAGCTAATTTCTCTTTTCTAGCTACTGATCCAGGCAGCAGGTTAAACTTGTTTTTTGTTTTTGAAGGCGAGGGAGGTGTGTGGCAGAAGGAGGCACAGTAGGTTTATGTGTTTAAAAAAAAAACCAAACAACTTTTATCATAAATATCTGCAAACTTTTTCACCTATCAGTAATGACTGAAGTTACAATTAAACTTCAGTGTAAGTCAGTCATTTGGTGTTTAAATGCAAGGAAGTTAATCTTCCTAAGTCTTGTTAGAGACTTGTTATATAGCCTTCTAACATCCAAAGCTGGAAGCCAGGCATTTAGTGCTCACACTTGGTTTACAACCTGGTCTTCTTCAGCTGAGGGGTACACACCAGCTTGATTTCTAGAACACTTTAAATGCAAATGAATTTTATGTGTTATGGCTATTGCTTTTAAGACTTCCAAAGGTCACTGAAAAAGCACAAGGTTGAGACCTTTGTTACAGCTGAGTATTTTTATCAAGTGATTCATTTCCTTTTTTTCATTTTGTTTTTTCTCTTTTTCACAGCTTCATAGCAGTGGAGAACATAGAGAAGTACTGTGTTCTGATCTCATCTAAAGCTGTTTATTTCCTCAAGAGCGGTGACTACACCGACCGCGAAGCCATCTTCCTAGAAGTGAAGTACGATGACCTCTACCACTGCCTTGTTTCAAAAGACCATGGGAAAGTATACGTGCAGCTGACCAAGAAAGCTGTTAATACAAGCAGTGGTGTAGCAATGCCAGGCCCATCACAACAAAAACCAATGGTAAGGGTCTAGCACCTGTTGTTTCCTTCATGCAGGGGTTTCTTTTCCCCTCAATGCATGTACTGATGCCAAATGTATTTCTGCTCATCAGTGTTTGGTTTCTTGTACTGTTTAATAATGAAAATTTCATTCTGCCAGCAGTGAAAATAACTGCTGCCAAAAAGGTTGAGGTGAGTAGAACTTGTTCCATGAACTCCTGAGAAAAGTTGAAGGTAAAATCTAAAATATTCCTGAATGCAGAAGTTACATTAGGAAATATTTCTTCATCTTAGAAATAATCTTAATTACACAATACACACAATTAAGCACTGTGCTATTTACTGTAGTGTTCTCCCTACATACATAGCATTTTCCTAAGATTGGAAATTGACTATTTATGTCATACATGTAAAAATTAATCAGTATCTCACCTCTCAATGTTGAGGGTTTTTTGCTTCATTACAGTAGTTGTTCCAGGTCTGTTTTACAGACAAGGTTACAAGCTCACCCCTGACCTAAGTCAGTTTACATTCCAAACAGAGCAGCCAGATGAAAGGTAGGAGAGGAAGCAAAGGAAATAACTTCAGATATTGCAAGATGTTTCTGTTCCCACCCAGTATTACCGAAACTCTTGTTACCTGTCTTTCTCATTTCTTCCATCCCTCATCCTCAGCCCTGAGAACAAGATTTACACTGAAGCACTTCTATTCCTTCAAGCATAGCCACACAAATTCCTTCAGTCAGTGAAATAAAAATATAATCATGCCTCTTTAACACCATACATATTTCTTTCTGCAGGTCAATGTGAAATCTGAAGTTCTTGCAGTAAAGCTATGTCAAGAAATAAACTATGCAAAGAGCCTTTATTATGAACAACAGCTTATGTTAAGACTCAGTGAAAATCAAGAACAATTAGAGCTGGACTCTTGAAACATCTTCCTTACTGCCAGAGTGAACTGCAGGAATCAGTCTGGAGCTGATGGTATTCTGTAATTAGAGAAAATACTATATGGGAAAGAAATTAATATGATTTTAGTATTTAACTGTATGGAATCATTGTGAGTGGGCTTTTTTTGGTTTTGTTTTTAAAGCATTAGTTGTATAACAAAGATACAGCTCAAATGCATTCAGTTCTGGGAAATGCCTTGTATTTTGCTAACATGTATATATGTAAAAGTGTTTCATGTAAATAAGAAAGTCCAGACCAGGGGGTCGGTATGAACACAAGTCTGTTTACAGTGTAAAGAAATTAAAGGAGCTATACTGAGTCTTACTGCAGTACCTGAAACTACCTGTTCTTTCTCTCTCCCTCTCTGCTTTTCACAGTTCAGGAATGTACGTAAGGAGTGTTTGTTAAAAAAAAAAGAAGTTAACTGCAGCTGTTGGAGCACAGAAGTTCTGTAGTTCTTAGCTTTAACACTGTGATTAGGGTGCACTGTTTTCTGTTGTGTTCTTTTTTTTCTTACCATGAGTACAGCTAACCTGTACCTTGTATTGCACTGAAAGGTCATTGCTTTTAACAAAATAATTGCGTTATGTAAAATACTGCAGAGATGACTCACTAGCTTAATTACATTTCCAAAATACTAGATAACAAAAAGCTGAATCCAGAACTCAAAAAACCTAGCAAAGTCTGTACCTCTGAAGGCCCCTGCTTTCATGTTGTTTGAAAACAGTTCAAGCGAGCAGCCCTGGAAACTGAAATCTTCATGTTCAGCTTTTCCCTTCACGTGTTTGTAGTTGGCTGCTCAGTGCTGAACTCTGCTAGCACTGGGAAGGTCAGGGTGGGGAGACATCACTGCATCAACTGTCTTAAGGATATCATTTTCAAAATTAAACTTTTTGAAATAATAATAAAAAAAAACATGCTTTTTCAAATGCTGTATGTCACACGAGTGTTTGTCTCATCAACTACCTTTATTCCCAGGAACTAGGTAACCTAATGGAACTTTTTCCAGAGAGAGTTATGTGTCTGTCTATCTGTTTAAGAGGGAATAGCCTGAAGATGGTTACAAGTAAATTATTTTTAACTCCTGTAATGTGAAAGGCAGAGGACTACTGTGTGAGGACAAAATGTAGTATCAGTGGATGTGTGTATGGTCTATCACTAGAAATACAAATCTGTAAAGGCCCATTATGCAAATGAAACTGATTTAATGCACCACTTTTGTATGTTTCTCTGTATAATTTTTAAGTAAAATGTAGAATTCAACAAGTGCATTGGCTCATCAGTGCTTTAACAAGTCAGTCCTATTGGACTCTTGTTAGTGAGTCCCTGCTCCTCTGCTCTGCAAAACTGCTTTAATGCTGCAAAGCCTGGTTGCTAAAGCAGGTAAGTAAGTGGGTAAGGTGAATAAAAACCAGCTCACAGCAGAATGGCTTGCATAGTTTGTTCTGCAGCATTTATGTAAGGAATGGGAGTGCAAGCACCTGAGAAGTATGGCAGTACACCTCAACTCAGTGACCTGAACTCAAAGAACTACAGGATACAATGGATTAATGGATTTGATTTGGGTATTTCCTTTGGAACGTGCTCAACCTGTTGGGTTTTTTTTTGGCTGGTAATAACAATTACTTAAAGCTTCAAGAAACGTACCCACTATCTTAGATGTACAAGAGGGCCATGGACTGCAGCTGGCTTAGGCTGCTCAAATTATGTTACCATACTGTTCCAGCACTGACACTGTGTTCCTCTCAGCTACAGTCAGCCCACTGACTTTTTTTTCATTCATATGGAGACAAAGTTCTCTCAAACAGGTTTCCTCTTACAAACACAGTGCTGATTACTAGGAGTAATGTACAGATACACTTGCAGGAAGCACACTGCCTCTTGTAACATTCCAGAACAAACTGCACTAGAACTTTGTTGTTTTTTGTTGTTGGTTGTTTTTTGTTGTTTTTTTTTTAAGCTCAAATGATGTTACTTGTTGCTGTAACCCAACTATTTTTGGATCATCTCATAACTCCTTCTGTGGACTTCCTATTGTTGTTGGCACTATTAACATTATTACTAAGTGAATAAATACAACTTTCAAATTCCAAGGGCCACACTCAGAAATAGTTTTTAGAGGAGGAAGTGCAGAGAAAGTACAAGCCTTTAGCTTTCACAAAACTATACACAAACTCAGACAAGACAATGTAATAATTCCACTTACCAAATCACGTGAAGTTCTGAGCTTTATGAAGGCAGTTAAGTATCCTTCAGCCTGGTTTTATTGGAGGAGATAGGAGTTGCAGCCATGAAAGTAGATTGTCTTGAAATTTCAGAAGCTGTGGGAGAAAAAATTGCTGATGAGAGAGAATAACAGACACAGCTTCTGTGCTATAGCAATGCCTCACAGTAAATCACCTCAGCTATAGAGAGTTAAGTAAGTCAGTCCAAACAATACCCCACAAGGAATGGTACATTAGCTATTAAGCTAATTAGCAATTCAGCTAATGTGATACGTGAAAAAGGCACCCTAATATTTATAACATTTCTCCAGAACTATGTGGTCCACCATCACTAAAAAGAACCAGACTTGTGACCAAACTTTTAATGTTTGAACTATGTCAAAGACCACAGCTGACAGTGTCATTTTTTTCTAGAAGCAATTCTGGACACACAGAATTACAGAGGTCCTTTCTGTCCTTGATCTGTATCAAAAGCTGTGGCTGCAAAGGTCTGTTTCACTGCCTCAGACCTGACAAAGCAATCAAACCACATAGAATTACTGCTCTGAATCACTGATGTGTAACTAACAGGAGCAGTGACAAGGCCACTAAGACTTCTTTTTTCCTGAGGAAGCAGCACTATTGCTAACAGGAGAAATGTGGTAAACAGTCTGGGACTGCAGCAGTATAAACATACAGATAACAGATGCATACCATGAGTGCTAAAAGTGGAGGGAAAAAAAGAAAAGAAAAAAAAAAAGTAGCATCACATACCCTACCCATAACATAATTTTATACGTAAGTTTAATTCCTGGAGACAGTCCTTGGCTGGTAGCAGGCTGCAGCACATCACAGGTGAGGGGAGCAGATCAGGTATCTGTCTCCCTTGCTGCCTCTGGAAGAGAAAGGCAGGGGACAAATTAGAAGAAAAACTTTAATAACCCTTAGGCACTCAATTCCAAGTAGGAGTGAGGGTCTGCATGTACCCGGGTAACATCAGGCTGAAACAGTTTTCACAACAGTCACTACTGGACCATAAACAATTCAGTTACCTACTCCAACTTAGCCATCTTTAAATAAATTACAGGCAATGAAACAGGAAATACACAATGAGATATGCCTGAAGTAAGCTAAACAACATGCAAGATGTGGACAATATCCTTCCTTCTGCTCTTGAATACTTTTCCAATAAATCAACTGGATGCTAGTTGAACAGCTTAAGTTGTGAATGCTGTTTAATCAAAAAGTGCAGTGCTTATGTTTTTGTGGAGAGAAAGTAAGTGGCTGGAAATTCCACATCTCAAAACAGAAAAGTAATCATAATAATCATGACAAGGAGTTCAATGTATGCTATCCCATTCCCCAGAGTGCATGGTGTTTTCCACCCCTCAGCTATTCTCTCACCAATTGAAGACTTGGTCCCTGGGATCTTGGACCAACTATATAAAAATGTGTTTAAAAAAAAAATAATTCTTTTTCTTCACTGTAACAACTGTGCACTGACCTGATTCATACAGGGCATGAAGCACCAGATGATGACACCCCGAGGGAAAAACTTGCTTGCTCTGCTTCTCTTCCTTAAAGAACATTCCTGTATTTTCTAATCACAGCTAATTCAGCTCTTGTACCTAGCTCTGAAAAGCAGGGTCTGGGCATACACTGGGTTACTGGCAGCTGCAAAAAGATAAAAACAAAAGAAAGGGCATTTTCATTAATGCCACAGTTGATCACATATTGCTTAAATAATATTGTTTCTCACAAAGAATGACACCGTATATGTACTTGTGTGTATATATTTATGTAATATATCTATTTCTTAAATTTACCTTGCAAAGTGATGGCCTTACTCTCCACACTTCCATTCTTAAAAGAACAGTTGTTATAAACAAGGATCACTGAGTCATCTTCTCTGAAAAAACAGACTGGGAGCAGAGCTTTGCACTCCAATCCATGCTTGATGGTAACTGCTTTGTCAGTACACATGATGATGCTGTTTTATCAAATACGGGGCTAGGATGAAAACACCACCAATTCCCCATGCATATTATTGGTTCAGATCTATTCCAGCCTACTGGTAGTTGGCCCAATATTCTGGTAGCCTTAAAAAGGAATCAGGACAGTTCAAATCTACCTCCTTGCTAACACCAGTTACCTCGCAGAGAAAATGTTCCATTAACAGAATCCAGGTCGGTTTCTCTAGGACTGAGATGTACTCCTTTCCTAAGGTCTTTATCATCAGACTTTCTGAGTGGGAGAATGTGAGTAAAGCAGCACCAGATGTGTACACAAGGCTGGGTCCTCACACTGCCCCTGGGTTCACACGGCTGTAACAGTGCTCGGTTACTCATGAAAGGAGGCCTGCCAAAAAGGGAAAAAAAGAAAAGTTACTCATTAACCACTGACAAATAGTGAAAAAAAAGATTATATTTTTTCCTATTTTCCCTCAGTGGAACTACAGCATATTCAAGTATAGAAATAAAAATAATCTTGGCACTAAATGCAGTTACATAAGAGGTAAATGCCTACTGCATTGTATCAGTTCTATTCATGGCCTGCTGTGCAGCCACGTTGTTGTCTCAGTGCAGTCAGACTCTGCTATCATAAGGGATTGCTGAGGCTTTCTTGTAACAGACACACTGCTGCCCAAGCAACGTGCCCAGCACAAGCAGTTCTCTCTGTGGATAAGAATAACCTTGCACCTCCGGCCTATTCTGGTCTGACTCAAAAGTACTAAAAGGCCATGAGAGAAGTAAACAGCTTTCATGTGCGTTTACACTTTGGATAACTGGATGGGTCACCCAAAGGACAAGGACTGTGTATGGGAGCTACAGAACAATTGTTTCTGCACACTAAAAATGCCAGCAAAATAAAAAATAATAAGAAAAGTCCCCTGGATACTGCAGCTGTGGAGAAATTTTAACAAATTGAGAAATCTATCAAATCCACCATCCATCAACCCTCTGGAAATAGCAACAGCACTTGCTTTGACCCTCAAGAGTGGCTCACCATTCCTAATGCCTGTCGTTTGCCAGCAGCCTTGAAGCAATCTGCAGTCAGCAATGCAAACCACCAGGTACAGGGTAATGGTGCAGCAAAAATTTCTCCTCAGATTTTGATGAGGGCAGAACAAACAACAAAGTCCACACCACTTGCAGGAGAACAGAACCATATTTCAGTAGGGCCAAGCTCCTGACACAGCAACCCAAATACCAGGGAGAACATCAGTGATTTCTCTCCCCCTTCCAATGAGCACCACCAAACTTCACATGGGCTTTGAAAATGTTTGCAGAGTAACCAAAACAGAAACTGCAGACATTTCACTAAAGCAACCCAGTGCTCACAGTAGAGAGTCGAATTTGGTCCAATTACAGACATTTATGTAAACTGAATTTCATGAAAAACTGAAAGCACCTTAGTACCTTGACTAAGATCCCATAGTGAAGTACAAGACCAGCATCAGAACACAGAATCTTGCTGCTGCTTTCTCTTCTTCACCACAACGTGGTCTGACTGCAGCTTCAAGCACCTAGAAGAGCCATTACTGCAGCACAGCATGAGAACAGGAAGCAACAAAGGATGGCTGGATGGCTCCTTCCTGTGATCATGCATCACCCTGTAGCCACCTGCAATCTTCCAGGCAACAGAAGCTTTTAACCAAATTTGTAATACCTATTAAGGTATTATGGTGCTTTTTCTTTTCACTCGTTACCTTTTGTTCTCTCTGCCAAACACCCACCAGAGCGAAGCTGATCTGCAGAATGTACCAGAAGCCCAGAAGGCATCACAAGATGGTACATAAATTCCCACAGTATCACCACTGTTGGAATGCACTCAGAACGGGAAGATGAGCATCCACTGGCAATGCAGATGTTATACAGCTCTTTGAAATATTCACCACCAAGGACAAACAGCACAGCAGTGCTGCGTTCACCCTGGTATCACTGTTTGCTGTGGGTTCCTGCAGAAAGTTGAAATAACCCATAAGAGCACAGCAGTACACTTTCTGTGCACACCAGCATGACTTCTGCATCTACCGTTTTCTGCCCATCTTTCACACGCAAATGCTGAAATCCGAGCAACGTGCAAGAGAAGCCATGCTGTAACCAATCACTGACTGCTGTATTCCACAGAAGCAGCATCTACATCCTTTCCAGGTTACATTCGGCCACACTTCTTCCCACTGCTTGCACTGTGGTAAGCAACAGGCTCCCACCACCGGCTCCCACCACAGGCAGGATGCACAGGAGGGTCTCAGCATTGCACACAAAGAGACAAGGAGAGAGGAGGTATTTCTGGAAGCCTGGCTCCTCTTCAGAAGAGAAATGTTTCCCTTGGCTTGTGCAAGTTGCTCAGACTGTGTGCAGTAACAGGCTGAAGAAGCCAGCTTTCCATTCCCTGTTCCATTACTCTTTTTGATTGGCACTTTAATGAGGGCGCTAGGGGTCGACCCCCTGCCAGGGGGCTGGTTCATGCCCCGTTTATCTCACAGTCCATGTAAGACTAAAATAACACGCCAGGCTGAGTTTCACTGCCTTGTGATCCAACAGCCCACCATGATGGATTGAGTGACTGCAGCAAGTTGGCAGCTAAAGTGTGTTGTAACAGTATCTTTCTGTCAGCGCAACACAATGGATTTGCTGATTCCTGGGTTTTCCCAATGTTCATCGTTACCATCAGCACAGAATTTTCTAAAGTTCATTTTCCAGGGGGCTGCAAACTGATAATAAATAACATACCAAAGGTTATACCATGCTTTTTTTCCCCTCCGCTGTCCTACTGCTGACGAAGTAGGGCTGCGGTGCCAGCTTTACTGCAGATGCGACAGCCATAAATTCCTATCACTTTTCCAGAAAGGGCAGCTCTGACACTCATTTTGTGTGAGTTCATCCTGCCGGGCCAACGCACGGCACACAGGGCATTTCAGCCCTGAACACAATGCTGAATCCAATGCAACACAAAAGGATGCTGCCACGTAAAGCAGTTCTCTCCACAAGAGCCACAGACTTGTTTTGAGGCTGGGTTTACAGCGTGCAGAGACATGAACATCAGCGTGTTCATTCTGGGCATCCAGAACTGATCCAGATTTACCCCTTTCCACCTCTGATACTCAAGATCCATATAACACTGGGCAAAATCAAGTGTGCCCCTGCCAACAAAAAGAACGACTAAGAAGGTGAATGCGCAAGAGAAATGACAAAATGCACATGGAAGGGACTTAAACAGGGAAGATTAAAGACAAGGATGCAGGGATATGAAGAAAGGGTGTGAAGGAAATATGGGGTCAGACTGAGGAGCTGGATGAAGAACAATATATAGCTGCTCCCAATAAGAGTTTGCTTTTTACACTGATGATGTGAATCACTGCACAGCACAGAGTTCAATTCATGGTGCAGGAGAAACAAGCTTCATGAGTTACACATCTGTGTTCGTGAAACAGAAGAAACATTCTTCACTACAAACTGGAACAGCAGCAGCATGATAGGGTGACTACTGGTGCAAGTCTTTGCTAGCACAGAGCATGTAATTACCCCCAAAACCTGCAGAGCTTCTCAGGATAATCTAGTTCAGAGTTCTGTGCACCCCAACACCACAGCCTGCAAACACATTACTCATCTAGCTTTGAACATCAGAGGCTGCCAACAATACCGACACAGCAGTGAAACAGAAGATGTGCTGTGAAAGCAGTTCGAAGCTTTACTGAGGCTCTCGTCAATCCACCTCTACCTTGCCAGTTCAGCTCAGCCTGTATCTGCCTACACAAGCTGCTGCAGCCAAGCCCTAAGAGCTCCTCAGGGGAGGGCGAGATACTTACACCTTTGCACAGTAACACTGAGGAGGGCACGCTGAGCATACAGCCAGAAAGCCTGGGAATTATTAGGAGAAACGAGTGGGTGGGGAAGCTCAAGGGACCAGTGGGAGGATGCGGGAAATCAGTAACACTGATTTGAATAACTGGTAACAATTATTAGATCTTTTTCGGTATGAATCATCTCTCAGAGACTCACCATTTGAATGATGTCACTCAAGGGGCCGTAAAAATACAGTAGAAGAAACAAGCTTGCCCTGAAACAAGGGTTTCAAGCCATAAGGTGAAAGAACAAAGTGGTCTGGGAAGTGTTGCAAACGTGTCTAAAAGGGAGAAACTTTTGTGGAGAACACATACTTTAGCTGGCAGGTTGAACAAGCTTTAGGAAAATTACTGTGTTACTTAAAGCTCTGCCAAATCTCTTCAAACTGATGGAAAAAAAATGGTCCTCCTTATCTAGTGACCGCTGAACTTGTCCTTGCCCCATTCTCTCTCCAGTGGTGACATCTGCATTTGAAAAACAACAGGCTGTAAAATTAGTCAGCCAGACCATCCCAAGGGAACAAAACAAAACCAGAACAACAAACCAAGGGCCCCAAACAAGCAAACAAAAACATGACTTTAAACAGAATCCATTCTCTGGGTTCACCAAATGTACAGAACTGCTTCTGTCATTGCAGGGGATGGGGCAGCAGAGAGCAGTGCTGCCTCGTGCAGATTTCGACTGCTACTTTTACTTTTTAAACAACTGCATGAGAAGAAAACCTGCTAAGTAACCAGTGGCATCAGCAACGGGCTGATGCAACAGGCAAGCCCAGAAACTACACTGCAGTTCATAATCTTTTTCTCCTCCCCTTCTTCTAACACACCCCTACTCTTCTCCATCTACAGAAGAGACCTACAGCCCCTTTCTGTCAATAGGAATACCAAGCTTGTGCACCCGTTCTACATTCATTTCTCACCTATCAGGCAAAATGCTGGAACTTTAAGAAAGCAGAATGACATCCCTGTTCCCTGGCAGGAGAGGAGTTAGTGAGCTCTAACTGTAACAGTGGGCTCCACCACAGCACTGCCATTCCTGCCCTCCCACTGGGTGAAGCCCCATTGCTCTGGAACCACCAAGGCATGTCACCAGCTCCCCACCATTCTATGGCAATGTTGGGCTGGCTTGAATGCACATCTGGTCTGTGTGGTAATGGCAGTCTGAGCTCCAGTTCTTCCTCAACACCCAGGAATTTGAGATACCAAGGGAGACACTGTCAGTACTACTTTGCAGCCAATCACCTAATGTAAACCTGGCAGTGCCTGAGGAGCTGTACACGAACTCAAATGCACATGCAGAGCAAGAAAAACTCGACCTCCTTCCCAGATCCAAAATGGGGGAGGGAAGCCATCCTCCTGCACTGAGCAGAACAGAAAATACTCACAGCTCTAGGAAGGCTCACAGCTCCCTGAAGTCAGTGCTTATCTCTAGGTTTATACAATGTTCCTTCCATTTTAGACAGAGCTCCTGGCATTTACCATCTGAAAGTTCACTACCGATAAAAGGCTCTTCAAAGCCTCTGCGAAGACCTCTGTTTTATGGAATTTAGGCACACTTACAAAAATAAAGGGCTGAACTCCCAGAAATACTGTGCAATAGGCACTTCAGTGGGTTTCAGGCCTTCCTCACCTACAGTGAGTGAAAAGGAAGATCAGAGAAGAGGAGTTCCAATTTCAAAACACTGACCTGAAGCCAGAGAACTTTGAGGGTTTAAGCACTCTACTGGATGTTAACTTTCCAACAAAGCTGCCACCCCATTAACTTCAATTTGCTTGGAGAGTTCTTGGGAGAAGAAGCAGTAATGATTTCAGAGAAGGCCAACAGAATAAATTCTGTTCTGGATTCCGTACTCCTGGAGGAAAGTTCATGATTTATACAGAGGTGATGTGAATAAGGGCCATACTATGCCATGTGCATTAGTAACTGAGAACAAAATTAAGCTTAATGGTTAGCATAATGCTATGTTTTTACAACATCTGTCAGCAATCATTTGTATTTACTTGCACTGCAAATGCAGATGAAAAGTCAGAGAAATATAAACATCAGAATTCGCTGAATTCCCACCAGCCCTGCATCTTCCCACATAGAATCTCTAACCATTCCTGTTCAGGCACTGTTTGTTCCTTGCCCTGTCCAGCATGGAATTTCTTCCCCATTCTCTATGACCACGAATTACTGGTAGAGGTTCTACACCGGAACAAACACTAACTAACCCTATGGCCATTATTAGCATTAACTTCAGTGCTCTTAAGACAGCAGTCAGATCTTTTCTGGACTCAAAACAACAAATCAAACTCCTTTCAGTTCCTGCTCTCTCCTTGGCCATGCCTCACACTACAGCAGAAGAGGAGGCAGGGAAAGCCAGGGTTGTGCTCTACTTGAGTTGTACTCCACCTGTGCAATGCAGGGTGAGCAACAGGTTAGCTGGGTGAAAAGTTCACTGCAAGCTGAGCTGTCTGTTTCTCTTGCTTAATTTATCCGATATTTGGCTAACCTTGCTCTGAACCCAGCCCCCAAGACCCCCTTCCTCTCATCCCTCCCCAGCGGGCTCATGTCAGCCAAAGACACCGCCCCTTCTCCCTTCTCCCTGACCCTGCTGAGCGGAGCGGGGGCTGGGACACAGGGCCAAGCACAGAGCCAGAGTCCACGCGCTGGAGAGATAGCAATTATTTATGGTCAAAACTTCAACAGGCCTCATGCTCAGGAGCAAAAATATAAATCCTACAGCCAGCAACATTCACTTGGTATTGTATCCAAATTTATCGGTTCTCCCAAGGCCGGATGGCACCCAGCCTGCACCCCCACACCTCTGTCCCCCACCACTTCCAGAGATGCAGCGCTCCCTTGTGACCTTCATGCAGTCCACAAACTGCTCACACAGCACACTGTACAAAAGGCTTGTCTATCCCTGCAGGCTGATCAGTGATGGTGCCTACAGCTCCCCCAAACCTCCCTCCTGCACCCAGAAGTGTGCCAGCAGAGAGCCCTGAGCAGACTACCCTGAAAGCTCCAGTCCCAGCAAACACATTCTGCGTCACCTCCAGACCACGCACGTCACAGCTCCAGTCAGGTGACGCAGCCCACTGGAAACACTGCCCAAGAACGCAGCTTTCTGACAGGTCTTCATTATATTCCTGCTGTGCTCAGGACTGCTCCCAGCACTCTACAGAGCAACACAAAGTGTGTTTGATGGCTTTCTCAACGACTGGATACATCATCAGAAAACCAAACTCACACACCAAACCTGCCACGCTTTTGCTGCTCTGCTGAGCAGCTGGTACTCCTTCATCTAGGCCTGTAAGAACCAACATGTTGTAACATTCACCTGCTGGCACTCTGGGCCTCTATGAGATGGTGAGCAAGCATGTGGCTAGACTGCTAACAATAAATGTTTCCTGCTGCAAACCTTAATTTCATTATGCTCTTTAACCTGACCAAGCACTTTATAGCTGTCCCACACCCTGGCTGCTCCTGCAGAAACTCACACAAGCAGCACGCTGCTGTTAATGGTCTGTATCATCACTGCCCCAACACATCACTGCAGTGCCACTGGACACACAGAGAACAAAGCTGCAGTCTCACTGACGGGGAGAAGAGGAACAGCCTGACAGCTTTACAGTAAGTGGAAATTCCTTGTGGTCTAAGAATAATATTAACTGGCTTCTCAGGATCACCAAATGTCCTCGCCTCGACACATAGCTTAATTTGTCTGGAAGCAATGCAGATTGGAAAAGTTTTCATGTGGTCACTAATTAGTGACACCATCCATTCTAAACCTCACCACTCCCACACCAAGGTAGCACAAGATCAGCCTGTAACAAAAGAGTCCTTGTTATTAAAAGAATCCTAGGCCCTTATCAAAGAACATGATCCCCCACCTAACCCCTGCATATTTTCAAGGCATGAAAATTGCTATGAAGAGCCAAGTAAAGTTGTCAGGAAGACATCAAACTTCAAATGATCACATTAGAAAAAAAATCAGATGTTACCCACTAAACTCTCAGCTCACATTGCATAACTCACCAGTATCTGTATTTCTCAACAGCAGACCCAGTGCAGACACTCCACTGCATCAGGACCATCTAATCATTAAAATGGCAGACAATTATTGTAACCGCCCATATCAGCAGTTCTTTGTGCTAAGTCTCCAAGTTTGAGGTTTTAACATCCCTTCAAAACTATTCACAGTTAAAACAGAACAGGAATGACATGGCAGGCATCAATGATAACATGTAAAATCATTTGCAGAATGCAGGTATCCAAGCCCTGTGCTCCTTCCATTCGTCACACAGAAGAGCAAAATCGCTTTGAGAGAAACCACACCAGCATGGGAACATTAAGGTAAGATGAACTGAAAGGCAGCTCAACTTGTGGTTTAAGAATCATCCCATTAAAGAAAAAAAAAAAAAAAAAAAAAAGCTGATGTGACAATTTTAATCTTTTTGGCTTCTCTCCAGAAGTCCAGAGTTTGTCAACATCAGGAGAGGGCTCGTGAAAGCCCAGCCATTGCTAAACGGAACAGCTTTCACTTCAGAAAGACAACATGAAGGAGGAGGATTGGTTGAGCTTTAAAGGAAACAAATGTCTTCCTTGCAATGCATCCAAATTAAAGGATACTGTCATTTGTGGGAAGTAAAAAAAACCCTGGCCCTCACCCTCCACCTCCACATCCCACAGCAGGAAAACCTAAGACAGAAACAACTGGAATAGAGAGTTTTGGTCTTTCTGGCAGATTCTTTGATTCTTCCAGACTGCACAAATTGAAGACAAATCTCTTTCCCCTGAAATGGCAGACCTTCAAAAAACATGAGCCCTCTGTCTCCAGTTAGAGTTCAAGAAATTCCCACTCATTGCCTCTGCCACGAATGCCTGTCTGGATTCACTCTGACAGCAATCCCTCATACCTAAAGGGCAGGTTACCACCAAACGAGGGCTTCAGATGTTGTGCTCAAAACCAAACAAAATAAAATTAACTCTGGACAACCAACTTCCACCAGAACAGCCTTCAACATAAGACACCTCTGCAGATGGAAAAGGTGAAGAAACACAGCGTGATGGGAGACAAATTTGTCACATCAAAGTCAGCTGTAACAAAGGACAGGTGTGGAGAGACAAAACCTTTTCAAGTCCAAGTCGCCTCCTATTTATTTCCACAGAAACTACAACCAAGAGCACAATAACACTATTTGATAGAGCAAGTGCCCAGCTACAAAACACTATTTTTTCAGCATAATCATCACCACAAGACCTGTATTTTCACCAGTGATGAACAAGAGCCTGCATTCTGTGCTCATAAAGACCTGTACCAGCAGAGGTGACTGCTGCCACTGCTGAAACACACCACCCATCCATCTCTGTGCTCACATCCACTTCTTGTCTCCATAAATATTCAGTGTCAATGAATGTCAATGGGTGCATTCTTTTCTGCAGGGAAGACTTCAATTACACACCTTTCCTTCAATTCAAAAAAGACAGGGGTCTTCTAGAGCATCTAATGGTGGGCCACAAAGATGATCAGGGGTTTGGAGTATCTCTGCATGAGGAAAGGCTGTGAGATCCAGGGCTGCTTAGCCAGGAGAAGACTGGACTTGATGACCCCAAGAAGTCCCTCCCAATCCCTACGATTCCCTGATTCATTGGCACTTCTATGTCAAACCCATTTTGTCAGACTGCCCCTCTGCTGCCATCTGTTGCGCAGCAATAAAACATAAGGCAATAGTGCCAAAAATGTTCAACAACTACAGCCATACCACCAACATCTACCTATGGCATCGTGGGCCAACATAATAAAACAGAACCAAAGAATCACAGAATCATTAAGTTCCAAAAAGACCACTAAGATCATTTAGTTCAAATGCCCACCTACCACAATACTGCCCACTAACCACATCCCTCAGTGCCATACCTCTACGTTCCTTGAACATCTCCAGAGAAGGCGCCTCTACCACCTCCCTGAGCAGCCTGTGCCAACGCCCAACCACACTTCTAGAGAAGTTTTTCCTAAATTCCAATCTGAAACACAGGACACTCATAGAATCATAGAATCACTAAGGTTGGAAAAGACCCACAGGATCATCCAGTCCAACTACTCACCCATCACCAATGGTTCTCGCTAAACCACGTCCCTCAACACAAAATCCAGACGTTCCTTGAACACCTCCAGGATCAGTGACTCCACCACCTCTCTGGGCAGCCCATTCCAGCGCCCGACCACCCTTTCAGAGAAGTAGTGTTTCCTAACATCCAGCCTGAACCTTCCCTGGCGCAGCTTGAAGCCATTCCTGCTAGTCCTATCACTGTTACACGAGAGAAGGGGCCGACCCCCAGCTCACTGCAACCTCCCTTCAGGTAGTTATAGAGAGCAATGAGGTCTCCCCTGAGCCTCCTCTTCTCCGCACTGAACAATCCCAGCTCCTTCAGCTGCTCCTCATAGGACTTGTGCTCCAGACCCTCACCAGCTTTGTTGCCCTTCTTTGAACACGCTCCAGGGCCTCAATGTCTTTCTTACAGCGAGGGGCTCAAAACTGAACACATCACTCGAGGTGTGGCCTCACCAGAGCTGAGTACAGGGGGACGATCACTTCCCTGTTCCTGCTGGTCACACTATTTCTGATACAAGCCAGGATGCCATTGGCCTTCTTGGCCACCTGGGCACACTGCTGGTTTGTGTTCAGTCTAGCATCAATCAACACCTCCAGGTCCATTTCCTCTACGCAGTCTTCCAGCCAATCCACCCCAAGCCTGTAGCATTGCCTGTGGTTATTGTGGCCAAAGTGCAGGACCCAGCATTTGGTCTTGTTGAATCTCATTCCATTAATCCCATTCATCCTGGAGGGATGTAATGAGCAAAGACCCCCAAGGCTCAGTGCTGCCACATGCCTTCGTTCAGCCCCGCTGCCTCTGGAGGTGCTGGGTGCTGGTGAACACGCAAACGGGCTCAAAGCTGACAAAGAACAGACTCACAGCTCAAATCCTCCCAGCCCACAGCCCTCCAGCCGGCCATCCATCACCAAACCTCACAGTCTGGCTTCATTTCCCTCAGCCACCCAACCTTTCCACACAGAGGGTGGAGAGGCACTGGAACAGGTTGCCCAAGGAGGTTGTGGACGCCCCATCCCTGGAGGCATTCAAGGCCAGGCTGGATGTGGCTCTGAGTCTGCAGTTTGGTGACCCTGCACACAGCAGGCGCTGTTTCCTCTACCTGCCTTCAACGCCGCCGCTCTGGAAGGTTCTGCAGCACCGCCTCGCTCTTCTCCCTCTCAACGGCCCTTAGCGACCGTTAGCGGCGCCGAGCAGCGCGCCCCCTACTGGTCGGAGGCCGCGCTGCACCCACGGTTCCACGGCGCGCGCCGAGCGCTCCATCATGGCGGCGGTTCTGTCAGCGCAGCGCGGGAGCCGCAAGCCGGGCCGGTTGCGCTACCCGGCTGTGCTACCAAGCGAACAACCCAAAATATTAAAAATCGCATCAAATCGTTCACATGTGGAACCCATTAGGAACACTGAGAAAGAATTCGCCTTCATTGTTTCGCTTGAAATATCAAGGTTATAAAAGTTAATGGCCGCCTGACAGGCGAGCTATATGAAACACTCGGAGATTTACGCTGTGCTCTGTGGGCTGAGAGCCGCTCCGCAATGGGACCAACCTGTGGTTGGAGCGCTGGGGTTTTCTGGCAGGTTTTGGGGTGGTTTTTTTTTTTTTTTTTTGACCTTGCAGAGCTGTATTCGGTTACCACAGCAGCTCCGAAGTAAAACGGCGAGGCTGCTTTTCTCTTCTTTCGAGTATTTATTTCTTTTTGTCCCGTTAATGTCGAACAATGAAAGGAACTGCGAGGGTTTTTGAAGGGGGTTGTGGAAAGAATGAAAGCGGGAGAAAGGAAAAAAGAATATATACCAACATAATGGCTTAATTTCTCACAGCATGTGCAGCGCAAATGAACAGTAAACACATACCACAGAAAAATGCAAACAAAGGCTGTGTTTGCTAAAAGCTCCAGGAAAACATGGGGAGTGCCCTGAGCGGTCATTTGTGCCATGAAACCCTCTCAGCCCTGTGCTGCCAGGTCCAACAAGCCCAGGTTTTGTAGAATCACAGAACCATGGGATCGTTGGAATTGGAAGGGACCCTCAAGGCCATCAGGTCCAAGCCCTGCACTGAGCAGGGACACCCACAGGTTTGATAAAGCTGTTTCAAATGCATACACAGAGTGAAGATGGAGACAACGAATGTCAGGTGAACTGAATTATGCTCAGCAGCAAGCACAGCCTTTCCTCCAACACACCTGTGCTCTCAGCATTCCAGCATTCTGGTCTTGTCCAATGCTTGCTTTCTAAATTTAAGTGGCAGTACAACTTTATTCCATTTACGATTTTATTTTCTTAAATGAATTAGGAGTGAGTATGCTGCAAAACAAATCCCAAAGTCTTCTACACTAAGGGTGGTGAGGCACTGGCACAGGTTGCCCAAAGAGGTGGTGATGCCCCATCCTTGCAGACACCCAAAGTCAGGCTGGACTGGCTCTGAGCACTGATGGAGCTGTGGGTGTCCTTGTGCACTGGGCCAAATGACCTTTAGGGTCCCTTCCAGCTGAAACAATCCCATGATTCTATGATCCTATGAAAGAATCATCAAGCTATTCTCTTCAGATAGAAATATGCCATCCCCTGATGTCAGGAAGTCACTTCTATAATAATAAACTTTTTCCAGTGTCAAGACTGTTGTGTTTGTTTTGTTTTGTTTCCCTATCAAGCTGAGGCTAAGAAGGAGCTGAATCCTATGAAAGAAATAAAACATATGTGAACATTTGCTGCCATAAGTAAAGGCAAATATATTCTTGACAGTATCCCAAGATTTTTTTTTTCCCTTGAAGATTTCTATAGGCACGTTTTTGATCACAAGATTGGAATATGTCATGAGCACATTCAAATATTCATTTGCATTGATATTGTTGCCAGAAGCCATCTCACAGTCATCATCAGACATTTTGGAGCCCCTACAAAGCTTTCTGTGGGATTGGAAGGCATCCAAGCAGGGGAAAGCAAAGCCACCGTGAGATGTGGACAGCCAGTTCCACGGGAAAACTGCACATTAATGAATGGCAAGCGCTCAAAGTAGTAGTTATGGTGAATAACTTGCAAGCAAATTATTGGCTGAGAACCATCATATATTTAAGCTATATGATAAATGAAATTTTGAAAGAAGCCTGTTTAAAAATAATCCATTAAAAGACAGCAGGCTTATTTTACAGCTAGATTTGCCAAACAGTACTGCTAGCTGTAATGAAATCACTGGATTATAAGTTGCCCATCAGCCTTAATGCAGATCCACCATGATCCGTACTTCATGCTGCACTTCTACATGTTTAGGTATCATCAGAGCCTATCTCTGATTCAAAAATTATCAGAAGAAATCAAAACAGCAGTACTGGGTATCTGTAGTTCAGATCTTGCACTGTATTCCCAGCATTTCAGAAAAGGGCTTGTGTGCTTTGTTCTTATTTTCTATTTCCTCAGCACTGGTCTGTAAAAGCCACTAGATCCACATTTCAGTTCTTTGTCCCAGGAACTGAAGACACCAAACCCATTTTAGCACTCTGGACTTTTCACACCTGTATTGCCTAGTTCAGGATACATCACGTTTACAATTCCCTTTTTAACTATGGTATTCAGGCCTGTTCCTAACAGTCCTTCTAAGTTTAAATTCAAATCCCGAAGGCCTTAAAAAAGCATATGCAGTCGTCAACTCGTTAGGCAGCATAATTTGCAAAAAGCAAATCTCTGCTTTTTGGTACGCCTCGTGCTTAAAAGGAAGCTAATCTCAAAGATATTTAGGGCAGTTTGCAATGTTAATGTATGAGGAGGTGTGGACACAGGCATGCACAGGTGAGAGACTGCCTGAAGGGAAGGCAAGGAGCTGAACAATCTGCATGCACAGCATTCTGGCTCAGAAACTCTCCAAACACAACCCTCCCCACCAGGGAAAATTGGAAGAGACAGATGAGATGATGAAAAATGAAGGGATCAGCAAAAATGAAACCTAATATAAACCCGACTAAAATAAACTCAGCATGGCTCCTATGGCTCATTCAAAAGAACATCTTCTCTGAAAGTTCATTTGCAATATCACTGAAGAAATGCAGAATACAACTTCTGTGTTGTGCAAGATGAGGAGGCATTGGCAAATCTGTCTGGAGAGATGAAGAAGTTTGTAAAGAGAAGTACTGAGCGTTGCAAGATTGCCTCACAGGAAATGCAGCAGAAAATGACAGCACTCCTAAATATTGGGGTTAAGAGTTTGAAAGAATTAAGATTTTTTTAAAAATTGGTTTAAATGAGGTCAGAAGGCTCAATGTTGTGACACTGTAATGACAGAACCAAGGAAGGTGTGCTATTGAACAATTAACCATAGCTGTTTGTACACAACTTCTGGTTTTTTTCTGAACGTATGTAGCAACTCTTGCTGCAGGACATCAACACTGTTTTTTTATTTAATATAAATAGTTGTCAGTGTCAGCAGCAGATCCCTCCTGGAGAAATTCAGGGCTGTATTTCATTTGATTAATGTGCTTGTTAAGCCTCAGCTATGGCAACAGGACAACAGAGAAGCTAACTGTGTTGTAGGCTTCAAAAGTACGAGAATAATTGATGTGGGTTGAAGGGGTTTGTTTGCTTTTGTGTATGGTTTTTTTATGCAATAGCAGACAGTTGAGAAATATGTCAGATCACTAATACTGAATTTTCAAGAATATTAGGATATAAAAAGCTAAAAAGCTACAGACTATTCAGCTACCAAATTAGCTGGTGCCAATCTCTGTCTACTCTCTTTAGCATAGCCCTGAGACTAGCAATAAATTATTGTCCAGCTCTACAAGTATATTCCATGTCTTTACAGCTTTGATGGGAGTCCAGAAGACACCACAAGGTATTTTATTGTTGGGAGAAAAAAGCCATGCAATAGCTTACAAATTGATTTGTGATTGTGTCTAATCCTATTGCTGGTTTTAGTCAGTCCTATTCTTCCCACTATGTTTTTCACAGAGGGAAATGTGGCCTGACACCATAAGGAATCAGCTACGAGCTGCTGTGACTTCTTTTTCTTGTACCTGAGAAAGTCTCCTCATCTCAGGCTGACACTGAACTCAAGAATTGCTTTTTTCTCTGATATATGGACATTAAAGAAAAAAAAAAGCAAAAAAAAAAGCATTTATTTCTCTGCACTCAACGACTGAGAGAGCAGAGACAATGAGCTTGTAACCTCTGCTATTGTAAAGGGCAAAGTTGCAGGGGGTATAATGACAATGCAAGTCTGTTGAACTGAGTGGGCTATAGCATGTCTGCATGACATTGGCATCCCCAGCAGGGATGAGGAATTGTGTGCTCTGATATCACTTGTTTTCTGTTACAGCCATTTCCATCTTCTATTAACATTCTTCTGAGATGAGCCCTTATTATTATAAACCCAAATTCCATAGGACAGCATTTTCCATATAGCTGTGATGTTCCAGAAGCCATATCACTTCTGTGTTTATTTCAAGACCCCTCTCTGCATAAAGAAACTGTGAGTTGATTTTCCTGGAGAAGACAGCACTGAATTACTTATTTTCTTTACACCACTTTAATACTGTAATGTACTGAAGAGGAACTCAATAGCAATGCTCAAAGCAACTAGCAGCTACGCTGCCACTAACACTAAAAAGGGAAGATAAAGAATCTCATTTCATGTATTCGTTCACAATACTCAGTGTATGCAGATGGTGATTCGAGGGAAGAAATTGGTCAGGGTCAAATCTCCGTGGCAAAGAGACATGTATAGGAAATCATGCCTTGAAGACATGTATAGGAAATCATTTGGGGAAGCTGGGGTCATCTTCATATAGAGCCTGCAGGCTTCTGAGAGGTTTAGAGCCAAATCAGGGATGTCTGCTTGAGAGAAGTCTGTACAATACAGAGGCAATTCTTTCAAAAAACAAAATGCTTTTGCTTAAGGAAAGAAAAAGAAAGGAAAGCACATCTACCTTGTACTACTGGGTCAGCACCATTCCTACACAGCCCAGAGAACCACATGTCCTCACAATACCTAGGCGTGATGGATGAGCTTTGCAGCCAGCAAGAAAAAAGTGAATAAGTCTAAATGACCTTTGTTTTCACATATATGAGTTGCTTTGCCTTCCTCCAAAAAAATAAAACGAGGGACAGCAAACAGTAACTGAGGTACTGGGAATGTTCTGAGCCAGCAAGATACAAAGTGAATGGATTGCTTTTTAGGGCACGGTGACCCACAGGAATAAACAGAAGTAACACCACGCTTCTTTTAGAGACTTTGTACGTGGATGGAAATCACAATGTCCCTGTTATTATGTAAGTTCAGAAATAAAAGGAAGGTCTTGCCTCTGGCCGGTTAGGGCCTCCAAACTCCACCTCAGATTCTATCTACCCTGTTTTGTTTTTTTTCCATATAATTGTTCTTTGGTCACCTCCAAGCTGCAATTAGAGTACTTCATTCCTTCATGTAAGGAAGGACTTTCATTTGTAGATTTATGCAGAAAAATCAGCATATGTATGTCTTGGTTTTTTTCAACTTTAATGGCTTGATGCAAAGATGAGCAGATGTGCAATATGTCTCTTTGTGTATCTGTTCAGACTTCTTGTCAGAAGAAAAGCAGGCCTCTGAGAACTCTTGCTACTGAAGAGAGTGCTAACACAATCTCCTTACTTTAAACTCAGCTATGGAGCATGCATTAACATAAGGCACTAATAAGCCTGGTCTCTTTGGGAAGGTGTGAAGCTATAAATCAACTCCTCACAGCTCTGTTCACTGGTATCCAGTCCATGCAGATCAGATCACTACATGCTTCTGCTGAAGCTTCAGCTTGAGGGATACAGGAGCAAGAAAAGAGAACAGGAGGAGGGACATCTCTTTATATCCTATGGAACAGCAGAGAAGCTGTGTTCTCTGTCTTCCATCTCTAGTCTCCAGGCCAGGGGAATTAAACCCCCTTAAAACATCACTGGTTTTCTCAGGGATGTTGTTTGGTGGAAATCGTGTAAGAAACATTTGACATGAACTTGCTCTATCCCAAAAACTTATGAAGAAGAGCTGTCAAAAAAAAGTGGCCATCACCCAGATTTAGTTGATTAAAGCCACATGAATAAAAGAAAAATAGATGATCCAAGGTCACCTCATTTTCTTTTCCCAGCAGTTGAATGTCAGCTAGAGGAAAACACGAGGCTGAATTCATGTCTGCTACAAACAGATGTGGTCCCTTTGAAATAAATGTACCCACTTACTCACACGGTGCCTGCATTAAGTCTGTTAGTGGGTTTTTATGAGATCTGGCAAGTGTAATGCTATCTGTTAATATCTGAAGGTGGGAGTGTTCAGGGAGTTGTCTAAAAGGCTTGCAAGACTAGATCTGGTGATATCCACCCACACTAATTAGCACATTACATAAAAGTACAACAAGTTTCTCTTTGCAAACAGTAGAATCACTTGCCCAGGCACTTTCTGTGATTCTAGAAGCGCTGCTGGAAAGGACTCTGTTGCTTTTTAACCTCAGTGGAACAGTGGAGGGGAGGCAGAGTTCAGTTCCCACTTTCAGGGCTTGCTCCTGTTCTCCACCTTCCAAAAACATGCCAAGGAGAGGAAGGATGTTTTTAGAGTTCATCAAGGGCACATAAAAGAATGAGATTATTATTTTTTCCCCATCAAAAAACAAAACACAGAAATCAAATATTGAAGAGGAGAAATCAGCTTTACTTACAAGTGACTCCTTCCAGTCCTTCCCTCTCTCTCCCTGCTCTGACTTGCTAATTATGAAAATTCCTTGGTGCAAACATCAGCCTCTGAAATCACCTGGAACTGAAAATATTTAAATATGGGCTCATTTAAATACAGGGTCTTTTCATGTCAGGACAATGAATGCCTCACAGTGGCTAACATTTCTTCATCGTTCCCATATTAAAACAGCAGCAATCTCCTACAGAAAAACTATACTAAAGGTCTACTTCTTCAGAGATTGGAGCCAGTAAAACCCAAAGAGCTTACCTAATTTCCTATGAAACCTCTGTGCCCTGCTCTTACAGCTTCACCTCAATTCCTGCAGCAGGATAATAAATACATACCCTGATTTAGATTTAGTCCAGACCCTTTGTGTGACATCTGGCTTCAAGATGGTGGCACTGAAAAGTGCAGTAATGACACAGGAATACAGAAAAAAGAAAAAAAAGTTTGGAGGAGTGGAAAGCAGGAAGCAGTGGAGAGAGGAGGGAAAACCAAAACTAAAATAAGTCAAAGGGCGGAAATTCCTTTGGAAAGGCCTTAGGCTCCTACAAAGCTTGTCCACATTTGCAGCACTTCAAGATTACCCAATACCAACCTTATGTACAAAGGGACAGCAGACCTCAACGGGCATTCCAGAGGAGCTTTTCTTTTTTAAAAAACATCTTTGTATGCATCCATCCAAACTTGCAAGAAACTCACTGTATGTAGAGCGTTGTATCTCGCAATACTCAGAAGTGAAGAAACTCTATTACCCAACTCCTCCTTACTATCTGAAAAGCAAAGTCAATGTTTTCCTCATTATTTTCTGTTTGCTGCATACCTCTCCCCCACTGTGACTGCTATTTGACCTGCTGTCCGCTCAGAGACCCTAAGGGAAAGAGAGAGGGAAGTGTGAGTGTGCGTCTCTGTGTGAGAAGAGAGAGATTATGAGAGTCCCTGCTACATTCTGACTGGTTTATATTCATTAGAAAGCAATCAACAGCACTTAGGATGCGAGACAACCTCTGAAGATAGGGAACATCTTTGATGTAAGGCAGGAAAAGAGTGGATGCACGTAAGGGACACGCTGTGGGCATGGGTAGAGTTGCTTTCAGCATGCACACGAGTTTTCACCTCTCTTTTGCATTAGGATGTCATTAATGAGTAGAATCTCAACACAAAAGTTTGATTTAAGGGGGACGCTGCAGGGCGCCTTGCTGCACCAATCCCTTTTGCTCCTGCATCTTGGAGCCTGGCGTGTCTGACTGTGGTTAATGAGAAGATAGAAAGGATCAGAGTGCAGAGGCGGAGGAATTATACCTCTCCAGTGTTTCTTAAGTGTGTACCTCTAATACTCCTGGCAGATCCTGGAAGAGCTCTTCCCCCATTGCAGCTGTGTTTTCAATGAATTAGGTTTCCTCTCAAAACCGGACAGCAAAATAACGCTGAAAGCATCTATTAGGGAGGGCACCACAGTCACTGAGATCAAAGTTCCTTTTCATCCTCTCCAGAGAGCCTCAGACATTTAGGAATTTAAAAAGCCCTCCATTGTAAGATGCCTTGTCAAGGCTGGCACAGGGCTTGACACTCGGAAGGAAAGCACTGACCAGGACAGGAGAACACCTCGAAGCATCCATGCAGGCAAAGGGATATCAATGATACTGCACCTCTTCAGCTGCTCAGCAAAGACACACCTAGTGATCTGCAGTAAGGACAACATTCATACCATCGTTCCTCCTAAGTAGTTTGTCTCCATTCTGAGATCTTCCTTTGGATCTGCCCTGCAAAAGCAGCTCTCAGCTTTCCTGCTGTAAGTCATATCTCTGTACAAAGTTATAGATTTCAGCTTTTTTATTATTATTATTATTATTATTCCCTTCCACCCTTTTGGCTTATAGGCAAATACCACTATCCCTTTCTACAGCATTTTCCATTTGAATCTGCTGAGCATTTGACAGACAATAGAACAGTAACATTCACAACTTCTGAGGCAGGGAAATGCTAGAACTATCTGTTTTGCAGGTCAGGGTGTACTTTGGGATTATGCAGCTTGGCCCAAGAGCATCTATGAAATAAGGTCAAAACTCAAGCCTGGAGCCCTGACCTCACCCCTTTACTTCAACCATGTAGCTTTCCTTGAGGCACTTCATTCAGGTGTTCTCTGGGCTGGTTTGTGACTTTCCTGAATTGCAATGATATTAATTTCTCTTTTAGTAGCAGTGTTTCAATGTTTCAACTACATTATTATGCCTAGGCTTAGATGCAGACTGCATCTGGCACTAGAATGCAGTGTTGCTCTTGCTAGGCTGTCAAAATGTCTATCATTATAAAAATAAATAACATCTAGCTGCTTCTGGCATTTCAGTGCAAGCAGTATTTATCACTTTTGGCTGATCAGTGCCTGATTCAATGTCTCTAACAAACAATGGGTATATTCCCAGTTGAATTCAACATGCATTTAATCGGGCCTTTGCTAACTGTGCTTCCAAACTCCACATTTCATGAGCACTACAGCACTGTCTCTTCCATTTTCAGAGAATTATTCCACTTATTTCATTGTGCAGATTGATACAACGGATTTTACTCTGTATGGATTATGTCACTGAATGTGTTTTTGTACAAGCAGGCTCTAGATTTAGCTTACCCCCAACGTGATGCTGTCTTACATGCGTGGCAATCTGGAATTAATGCTAAAAATATATATATTTCATCATAAATGAACAAAAATATTCAGAAAGACAATTACATTCCATATATGAGCTCAATGACAGAAGGAATCTTCCACGATTCAAACTGTATGCTCTTCTGACTGAGCATTGCTGTCCAGCCTTCATGGGTGCAGTAAGACAGCTTTCCTGGGCGCAGAGCAATCCTCCCAGAGAAAAGGCCTGGGGAGCCTTTCACAAAGAAAACAGCAGTTTGCTCCTTCCCTGACATGACTTGGGAACAGCTTTATCAACAAATATAAAGCGAAGGAAGGGAAGGAAGCTTCCATTCAATGTCCACGACTTGTAGCTCTTCATTTTTAAAGTTTCCCCTTCAAAAAGCTGAAATGTAATCAGTGTCAGTTTGCAATTGCAGTTCTTCTAGAGACAGCGGATGAAGCCTGGGGTGCAACATGCTGCCTCTCAGCTGAGACAGCCCTTTAGAAACAAGAATTACATCTTAAAACTATGAGCAGATTTAACAATTGAACCCTAAAGAATTTAACATCACATAAACATTTCACACTTTTTGTTTTTTCTTGCCAAGGGTCCATAGTCTGGTCATTAAATCCTGTGCAAAGGTCATGTTACTATGGATATGACCTGCAAGAAATGTGTTGCCTCAAAGCAGCGCGAGTCACATGAACAGGCTACAAGCCAAGACTGCTGATTCACAGCCCTGTCAGGATTTTCATGCTTGTGCTGGTTTCACTGAAGAACAGTCCTTCCACCACCAAGTCTATGTTCGTCCTTTAAAAGTGTTCATGCAGGTGTAGCTCCCAGAAAACTTGTGGATTTCTTCAAGTGCTGCCTGAGGGAGAATGCTGCAGGAGGAGCAGAGAGAAAACAAGCAGACCAGACAAACCTTTCAGTCTGTTCTATTAGGAGGATGTGTAAATATATATATATATATATTTTTCCTCTTCTTTTAGTATTTAGTATTGTGATTATTTTCCATTTCAGTTCCTGACTGAAGTAGGTTTTCCACAGGCTTTGGTGCCAATTTGCACAGAAAAACGTTTTTATATGCTTTTTCTACTCAGTTGTTTCAGGATATAAAGTTATGACTTTCTTTCCTTAGGCACTTTAAAATAATCCTGTCCTAATCATACACACAAATATTTTTGATAGCTTCACGTCTTCTCTAAATACAGCTGTGATGCACATACTTTACTACATAGGAATCCATTACAATATAAAGCACAGAGTCCAAAGAGTGGCTTACTGAATCAAAATCAACGAGATGCATGTGTTAGTCGTTAAGAAATTTCCCAGATGGCAGTTTGGACCTCAGGAAACAGAATCCTAGGGAGATGGCTTAGTGGGCATGGTGGTGATGGGTTGATGGTTGGACTTGGTGATCTAAGTGGTCTTTTCCAACCTTAATGATTCTATGGTTCTAATTTGGGGAATTGGTTTCATACAAGGGGTAAACTTAAAAAGAAAATCTAACAAATCTGCTAAGGGAACGTCAGAAAAGTTTCCCTCTATTGCTTCTGTGGCTCTCCTGGGAAGGGATGACTTGGTCTGAACCCAGTTACCAGATAACAGTCAAACTCAGGTTTGCTTTGGTGGACAGACAGAGCAGGACTATAAGTAAATCTTGCCTCACTAGCTAGGCTATTGCTGGGAATGGGAAATATTTACCTTTTCAGGATGACCAGAACATTCATTGTCCATGGAAGGAGCAGGAAGGCTTGATTCATCTGCACAGCTTCCACTGTCCTCCTAGCCACAGTCTCTGGCTTGAGAGGAGGAAAAAGATTAGGGAACCTGAATAAATAAAGTAAAAAATAAAATAATTATTTGTTAACCAAACTCCTCCTTTTTGAAATCACTGTCCACGTTCTGTTACTCCCTATAAGTTATCATTGGCAACTGGTATTCAGGCATGCCTCAAAGCAGGCTAGGAGGAGCAGGAGATTATGAAGCCCAATTCCAACCACTAGTACTGTGTTATAGCCAAAGGGTTTAGGATGAAGTGGCAGAAAGTATTCAGCACCCTGATTCATGGATTTTCTTAAATTGGTCTGCAAACAAAAGCCAAAATGCTGACTTTTCAATGTTCTCTCTGCTGCTTTTTGATTCATTCAAATTCTCAACAGGTGAAAGACAACTATTTTTCCTTACAGCTTTTAATATCAAACGTAATTGGAACTAAATGATCTTAAATGTTACTTCCAACCCAAAGCATTCTATGATTCTATTACTCTGTAAGGCTTTTCCTGGCTGGATGCTGCATATTTTCTTGACTAAGAGGTCATTTTGTTGATCGTAAAAGATTAACTTGGTCAGCCATTAGGCTTTTTTTTTTTTTAGTTTAGCTTATTTTAAAGGACGTAGTGAAAGCCTTACTTCAGTAAATGGATTTCATTCCCTTTAGTGGGAAAGGATTAAATATATCAGTGGATAAAGAAGGAATTTGCACTGTTAATTCTCAAGCAATTTGTAGACTGCTCCGTTTTGAATGACCTCAATTTTCAGATTGCCTCCCCTCCCTCTCTAAGTGGCTGCAAATGGCCCAAATACACCCAGGGAAAAATAGCTTTCAGATTTCTCTGTAGAAGCAACTGCCTCTCTAAGTACAGGCAGGCTGCTTGAATATGCCAGCAAACTGAGGGAACCAGTCTGATGAGTCCCAGGTGGCCTAGAGTGACCCTCTGTTCCCAGGCAGCCAAATGAGACATCAAATTCTCTTAACTAAATGAAGCATTAATTAGGAGTGTATTCTGATGATTCATTTAAAATGAGATGCTTTCTTCCAGTTCCCCTGGACTGACCTGATTCTCATGCCCTGGAACATCTCTGTGCTCGTGTGGAAGGGCAGCACTGTTGTGGCATTCACTCCAGGACAGTCTAGCAGCCCCAAGGTCAGGCTCTCCATAAAGGCAAAAGAAGAAGCTTTGGAGGTGCAGTAGTCAATGGCACCAGGAATGGCTGACAAGGCCAGGACAGAGTTCAAGCAAACTATGTGTCCATTCTGCAACTCCAGCATCCTTGGCAAGAACGCTTTGGTGGTCTGAAGAGCACAACAGAGAGGGTGAGGGGGAGAAAGGGTTTACTCAGCAGAGATACAAGAAAAACAGCAGTTCCTGAAAAAAACAATAAGGTGACACAGAGACAACAAATCAAACTGCACTGCCTATTCAGCCAGGAAAAGAGGGGAGGAGCGCCTTGTTGCTTTGCACTCTCTGAAAGCTTTTAAACAGGAAAAATTTGTGAGGAGGAAAACCAATATTTCTTAGTACATACTATCCACAGATAAAGGCCACAAACAGAATGCTTTGTATGTTAAGAGCTTCTTGTGGAGGATAAAGTCCTCAGCAAAGAGATGAAATCACAGGAAGCTCTTTTTGTTACTATTATCTAACTCAAAATTGAATGAATTTCCTTCCCCAAGCAAGGCAGTCTTGTGCTGATGTACCATACACAGCACTGTACAGAAAACTCTCCTCTGTGGGCTCAGGTTTTCTCAGAAGACATCAGATGCTTTGCTGGAAATCACAGAATGGGGATACAAGAGCATCAAATACTGCATTGCTATTGGAACCTTTGATGGTTATTTTACTAACTTCTGTTTAGAAAGACAAAGTATCAGCCAGGAGTTTATCTGTCACCCTCAGTCCCAAGTCTGAACCCATGAGATGTGAGAGCTGATCTTACCCAGAACTGTCCCAGGGTGTTTATATGCTGTGATTTGAGCAGTGCATCATCGTCGCTGTCCATCAGACTTTTACCATGGACCACAGCAGCATTGTTCACTAGGATAGTGATGTCACCCACCTGCAAGGAAACAAATAACTCATTACAGCAATCACTATTTTATCTGAATGCCTACTATTACCAGGTTACACTTTTATTTTCATAGCTTTTGGCATCCTGTCTACAGGCATTGTAATCCTTCTGGATCGCTTAGAACTCTGCATGACATAAGCTGGATGCTCACCTTTCTTTTTTCCAATATGACCACCTTCCTCAAAGATAAGGAATTACTACATTTTGCCTACAAACACTGTTTCTACACACCAACCTTCTCCCGCACAGCTTTGGCTTGCCGATAGACTTCCTCTCTGTTTCCAACATCACAGATGAAATAATGGCATTCTGTCCCCATCATCCTGATTTCCTCTGTGGTCTCCTTCAGGCATTTCTCAGTTCGACCCCACAGGATGATCTGCAGCAAAAAAAAAAAAAACCAAAAAAACACAAAACCTTTTGTTAGAGCCAAAGTACTTCTGCTTCAAATCTAAGATAATTAAAGCATGCTTCTAACTTCAACAAATTGATGAACATCTTTGATGAACATCTTTGATGTGTTTTCACTGCCAACCCTGTTGCATTGCTTCACTTAAGACTAACAATGATTTTATAGTACATGCAGATGGGACTTCAGTGTGCTGCTGGTGGCTGGATCCCACTGCTGATACTCTGCTTGCAGGTTCTTTATGAGCAACAGCAACAAAAAGCAGCTATTTAGCTTAACCCGATAAATACACGAAGAACTTGACAAATGCAGTAAGACATTTTTTTCCAGTATATCCAAGGTAACAATTCCCAGTGCTGAGTTTTTCCAGGCTGGTATCCTAGCTGCTTTTCAAACGAGCTCATCCTAATACAGCCATTTAGAGGGGGAGATTTCACATTAATTTAATTTGCAGCTAGTACAAGTAAGATTTCATTTGCCACTCCCAGTTAACAAACACAGTAAAACTGATAGAATAGTTCCTGCATAAAGAACAATACTGGACGCCCATGGAAACAAAGCATTGTCTAGCACAGATCTGACACACAATGAAGACAGAACCAGCACAACCCTGTCTGCGTTTCTACACCATCATGGAAGTGAGAAACAACCTGAGATGTTACCAGGTTGGTTAAATGTCCTCATGGGGTTTTACCCCTGTGAGTGCTCTTAGTGAGACAACAAGGTGAGTCTCAAACATGAAATGATGCTTCCACCACAAACTTTCAACCACTAATCTACAGCTTAACAGATTCAATGGAATATTTGTTTTCTTACTATATGCAACACTATTTTCTATTTCTTATAAACTGGAAAATGATATAATTCCATCTCTCTTACCTAAGATATCTATGTATGAATGAATCTATCGTTTTTGCCCTTCAAGCTACAGTCTGCTCTGTGTTCATCATGTTCAAAATGAAAGGCCAGTAATTGGAGAACAATACAGAAACCATCTGACTGCTCTGTGATCCCAGCAGAAAGATCCAAAGGAGAAAGAGCAAAAGATTGCCAATGCTCACAACCGTGGCTCAAGGCAACACAGGTTTTTCCACAGTAAGTTGTGTCCATCATGCATAATTGCTATTTAGTACTCAAAAAAAATAAAGACATTCACATAATCAAACTCTAGGTTTCTCTAATCAGGGATAGGTAAAAAATGGGCCTTGAAAATGGGAACAGTTTCATTGCTCTTGGAATGATGCTATTTCCAAGCAGTGGTCTTACCACCTGCCACCCAGGATTACAGTTGTTTCCTGTATCACTGGGTATGGAGCATGGATCTGACTGTTAAATTAATTTTTTTATGGTTAAAATAAGCACACTTAGATTATTACATCTTTAAAGTTTAAGCTTTTTTTCAGAAGCAGAAAGAAGAGGGAAAGTAAGTCTCAATTACAGCACTGCTTATAACTCAGTGCCTATAATTAATCACGAATCCTTAGAGTTGGAAGGGACCTTTGAAGGCCATGCAGATCAACTGCCAGTACTGACTTAGCACCAGTAGGATAAACACAACAAATCGGGTCCTGTGGTATTCCCTCCCCACAACAAATCCCTTGCAGAAGGCTTTAACAGGCTTATTTTTAAGGATTACTTGAACCCATCTCATACCTGGCACTACAGCTGATATCTGGCAGGCTCAAAGAGCTCTTCCCAGTGCAACTAAGCAAGAGTAAAGCCCAGAAGTATCTGGGTTCTCATAAATGAGTTAAACGTACAATTAACCCCATTTATTAATCACTGCTGCATCTAAGCACACGCAGGCAGACTGCTGGCTGTCCATTATCAAAATATCAAAGGGCTGGAGAACTGGCCAACTTCAGAGCAAGCATGTGCATAGCAGAGCCATTTCGTGGGAAATCTCATCTCAGAGCATCTCATTTGCAAGGAGAGAGCTGTGTTCAGACTGAAAAAGCTGTAAGAAAGCAGACAGATAACAATTTGGCCTGTGTGTTGGCCTCAGCACGTTGCTGTTGGCCATCAGGCTGTGGCATCTACACAACGCCTGTAGAACTGAAGACTATTTACATGCTCCTGATCTCAGAGCTAGACTGGGTGATATTTTAAATGCCTACTCTGCAGACTTCAGGAGAAACAGAGAACATGTGAGAAATTTCACAGGCTCCCAGGAAATATTTACAAAATATTGCTTAACTGTAAGGGTACGCAGTTACTTGCTTTCTTTCACAACCTACATCTCTGTGGAAAGGGGAGAGAAAACACTACAAACTGTCGACAGAAGCAGCAACAGAAGCATTTGACTGCAGTGTTTGCATCAGTGTGGAGTTCAGCCTCTTCACAGGACTGCATCAGTGATGTGCAGGCACTGCAAGGTCAACTGACAGCCTGCAAAGTGATGGAAGGCATGACAGAGAAGAGAAGAGAGCAATGAGGTAAAGGCAAGGGGAATAAATACAGCACAAGATGGACCTCACATATGCACTCTGGCTTTCCCACTGCTATTGCAGAACAAAAAGTAGATCCCTCACTCTTCACTTTCATCTGTTTCAAACATCCCCACTCCCCAGAGCTGCCACTGCTTCATTGAATGCCAGGAAACATACATGGAGGAACAGTTAAACGAAGGACAACCTGTTAAAGGAACATCTGTCTGTGATGCAGCTCTTGGACATAACATTTTTTATGCCCCAACAGTTACTTTGGGACCTTGAATATCCTATAGGCAAGTCTTGCAAGGCGACCCTATTAAAATTTGGGCCATCTGGGGAAGGCAATTTGCTGGTTATCCTGCTGACAGCATTAAGTTCAGGACTGATTTTTTTCCATGGGAAGTTTTCACATCCTTGACACTGTTCACACTCAGGTGAAGGCTTCAGCCTGCATAAGAGAAAAGCAGTAAATAAAAGACCATTCTTTTGTGAGAGGTGAAAGTTCCCTAATGGCACAGTGGGAAGCGAGGTTTCCTGCCATCATTTCTGCTACTTTTTACAGATGCATAAAACTCAAAACTCGATACAACTTGCTTTTGGTCCAAATTCAAGATTGAATGCTCCTACGTGGTCCTATGAGATCTCCAATTTCTTGTCTTACATCTGGCCAAATTAAATTGGCACAGGCTTCACTCTAAAGACTCTGAGAAGACTGAGTGGCTGCAGCAGCCTCATCAGCCATCCTCACCATCACAGAACCACTGAGACTGGAAAAGTCCAACCACCAACCCCACCATGCCCAGTCACTGTCCCCATGGGACGCTGGCCAGGAGGTCACCACGCTTTACTATTGGACCCCACATCTGTTGCAGTGATGGAGCAGGATCTCTCCAAGCTCTTTTTTTTGTGTTTTTTTCTTTTCCTGGCCTGCTCACATGGGAGCCCCATGGTTGGACACAGGGACTGGGTGTGCTCAGAGCAATGGGGCCACTGGAGCATTTTATTAGGAAGCACAGCTTGCAACACGCGGGCACAGTGCGTGTTGCTGTTCCTTTTTAAGGTTAATTCTAAACTGGCAATGACTGTGACCCAACTGGAGAGAATGACTCTTACAGACACGGCTGTTCCTGTCTGGGACGGAGAAAAATGCAGAAGAAAGGAGAGACACAGCACTGCTTATTACACAGCCTGTCAAGCACTGCACAGCCACCCATTCATGGTAATTTAATGGTGGATAGAGGAATATTTAATCTGTGTCTCGGAGAAGTTCTTGGACAGACAGTTTTCCGTCCTGGAAAGAATCCAGCCACCATTTCTTCCCCCTTCATCCCCTCCCTGCCGCACCAGACACGCTCTCCTTTCACAGGGTTACTGACCAGAAAATTGGGGAGGGCAGCAGCCCAGCGAGGCAGTAAATCCCTGCTGTGGCCCTGCTCTTACCTCGGGCTGACCCCAGCAGGCAGGTGGGGTGTGAAATTCATCGCCTGCGAGTGCTGGCAGGGCAGGGGGTTTCCACACCGGGCACAAAGTAATGGATTTACGGCGACAGAGGAACGCAGCCTGCTTTTCTCTCTTACCTCTGGAGGAGGGCTGTGACATCACAGTTTACTGCAGATTTTCCCAGGATTTATTCGTGCTAAACAAACCTTATCTCTTTATCTTCTCCCCTCTGGCAAGGCAGAGAGCTGCTTATCTTGGCCTCAGGAAAATCACTGCAGCCCCAGTGGCAGACCCCTGGCCCTGCTCTCCCAGAGGCCTCGTTTAACTCTGGGCTTAATCTGCTAATGAGACATGCCCTAAGGTCAGAGGGCAGCCAGAGGGAAGGTTTTGGCTGCTGTTGGACTGCAGAGACTTTTCAACAGAGCCAGCACTGGCTGCAGGCCCGCAGCCCCAAACCTGGCTCTAGGTTTCAATCCCTGCTTTCCACCCTGCACAAGTCCACGTGAGTTATGCTTTTGATGATTTATAAGCTGGTCTAGATTGATGCTACTGTCAACCACAATATACTCACATGACCTGTGCTCCCAGAGCCTCAGGTATGTGATTAGTACAGGAGATGAGGTTAATTTTACCTCATTTACAACCTAAATCGCTTGTTTGGTCCAATCTTATTGCTAGCATAAGTCAAAAATGACAGCGAAGGGATGCTGCTGTTACATCTTCAATTAAATTGGCGTTGCATCCCAGGCAGAGCTGCTATGCTGGACTTTGTACCACAATTAGAAGATGACCCACAACAAAAGCTCCTCTGAGCCTGAACACAGCACGGCTTATGTTGGAGGGGACCTTAAAGATCAGTCACTTCCAACCCCCAGCCATGAGTTGGCTGCTCCCCACCAGCTCAGGCTGCCCAGGGCCCCATTCAACCCGCTCATGACTGCCTTTAGAGATGGGGCAGCATGCTACAGCACCTAAACATGTGTCCTTCTTGATGCTCTGGGTTATCCAGGCTGTATTCTACTGCACAATTCACTGCTGCTCTTTTCCAACACAACATCACGAACAGCAACTAGGAAAAGTATCTTCCATCCCCAGTGC